GTATCCGTGCGTATACCGTACTTTTCCTGCTGTACTACGGTTTTTTTTTCGCCAACGACAAAAACTTGAAAGCATTGGCCGTTGGAGCAAGGATGGTTGGAGATGATGTGTACTTCAATCGTTTTGTGAAACAGCAATACCGGCCGAGACGGACAGCATTAATCTGGCTCCTCCAGGCCCCTTTTTCTACTCCAGCTTGCCCTTTATTCAATAGTAATGGATTGATTTCATCACCCTTTTAGTGGTTCGTGCTTCCGAACTTTTAAGAGTCCGCCTTTGCAGTAAAGCCAAAGGTGGGTCTCTTCATGAGCTAGTCTAAATGCACTACACTATTGTAGATGAATCGAGAGACGAAGCCGGGGAAGTCCAATAGCCATACTGCGCATCAACTTTTGTATCATCGCAATGTTATTGTGTGCGTGTGTTCTGTCGCAAAGTTACCGATACTACTTCACTAGTAGTATTGCAATTTCCACGATGATAGCACCTTGTCGTCTGACTTCAGTACAGAAAGCTGGCATACTGAATATTACAGTCAAGAGTAGGATCGCAACAGATTCGCAATAGAACAAAATCCAAATTAAGCCTACTTCTTCGTTGAATATTGTATGCAATGCTTTCATTCGCTAGAAATTTGATTCACTACTGTAGGAAATGGATCCAGATTGGCCCAATCATTTTTTTGGATCCAAAGACCGTGTATCAAAGCTTGATCTCAAAGTATACTGTAGGCCTAAGTGCAGCTGCGGTTTGTATCAGCAACTGTCGTAGCGTGGTGGGCGACCTCCGTTCGTCTATTAAAAGGCTGGAGTGTTTCTCAGCTCGTCTCCTGAGCTGTTGTTAGAATCAAATAACACAACCAAACCAAATGGCTATAACTCCTTTTTGTGAGTTGTTTCCACCGATGAATTGACGAAAACGGAAAGGAAGTATGTCCAAATACCAGTGACAAACAGCACTAGAAGCGAAGAATAGAACTCTCCCTTGCCTTTTTCAGACACGGCCGCCACCTCGTATCCTAGGTACTTCCAGTTTTTAGCTACGATGTCATCTGCGAGCTTGTTGAAATCGTTTTCATCAAGGTACTCGGTCAGCACGGCTCCAAGTATGATTGCGGTCACACCAATGGGAGTATTGCTCAGTAATGATGGCAAATATCTCTCTGGCCATCCAAATACAAGTATTGAAAGGAAGGCGTGTGACACCGGTATGAAGAAAAGATATGTAATCGAGTAGATTGTTGATGACGGAGCCATCTCACTGAATCGAACCACTGCTTCATTGTACGCCACCATAAACAGTACATTCGAAATAAAGCCGTTCAATCCAAACCGTACATGCAATGGTATGCGATGCAAAATTCTTTTTATTCGATCGGAACAACCAGAAGCATAACGAGTTAGAACTCTGAATGAAATATGCAGGCGTGGATGAGTATCGCTTTCTTCAACTTACGGGTGCAACAGTCGTGGAGGTTGTTTCTTGTGTTTTTGAAGGTCGTGAATCTTCATCGGAGGTCGATATGATCCACTTTTGGGAGGTTCAGGTAATCCCACATGATGCGCAGCGGCCTTTATTCGAAGATTGTCGTTGGAATTGACTCTTTTCATTCCGGCAAATTCATTGTTGACCTCTTCTTCAAGATTCCGTCGCTGGAGGGCTTCCTCGTCATAAACAATCATTTTCGGTTCTGAATTGGAAGGCATGCCCATTCGCTGCAACTATTTTCAAATAGTAATAGACTTTTTTCTCGAATCGAATACCTTTCTGAACTGACAGGTGGAGGGCTTTCGTTGCATAGATGACGAATGAATATCGGTAAAGTACAGTATCGTAGTGTGACGGTTTGTCGTTGCTCTGTGTGTCAAACCAAGAAGGAGGAAGAGAGGATGTCAATCATCTCTCCCTTTTTCCTTTGAAGGATGCGAGTTCCCCCAAAATGAAAAATAGAGAGATTGAATGATTGATTCATTCGATTCTCCCCCTTCGCAGGAAACAAGCCACCCATCGTGAAATGATACGGAGGAAGTAGTACATTGTGTACGCTATTCGTGCATCATGAACTAAGTAAGCCGGTAAAATTCGCACGCCCTTTGGTTGCTCGATGAAGCAAATCTCGATACCACCGAAGCCTATTCTACCAAAAAACACTCGACAAAATGGCCGTCATCAGTGAGTCTATGAAACATGACAGGATGGTGTCTACGTAGTGGATGACATCTCCGTAGTGGATGGCGACTGTTCGGTTGGACCATCTTTGGATTTTCTCTGAGATTGAAATATGACAACCTGTCCGAATGGCATCCACGAAAAGCATTAAATCCAACCGTAGTTTCTTCCAAGCGTTTACTCACACGTTTCTCCTTTGAATAATCTGTAGAGTCTGGAAAAGTTGTTATTGTCCTTGCCGGAAGACACGCAGGAAAGAAGGCTGTTGTAGTCAAGACATTCGATGAGGGAAACAGTGACAAGAAATTCTCCCACTGCCTTGTTGCTGGACTTGCTCGAGGACCACGAAAGGTCACTCGCTCCATGAGCAAGAAGAAGGTTGAAAAGCGAACTAAGACAATGAAGCCATTCGTTAAGTACATCAATGTCCGTCACATCTTCCCCACCCGTTATGTTGTAGACCTCGACCTTAAGAAGGCCGTTGATGAAGCCGACTTGGTGGATGCTGAGCGCAAGGTTGATGTTAAGAAGAATTTGAAGAAGCTTTTCCACGAGAGATACCTGAACCAAAAGGATATCACAAGCGAAAAGAAGGCACAAGGCAGCAACTACTTCTTCCAAAAACTAAGATTCTAAGTTCTGAAATTATAATTATCTTCGATGTGAAATGAAAGTGTTGGCAATTTTCTTCTTTCCGCAGTGATGGTAACGGTCAGACGAAATGATATGCCATCGTTGGCATCACCGTTTCACGAGAACGGAGAATGACATCCCTGGTATATCAGTAGAGTATCTCAAAAAAGTGGTTTTCCTTGTTCTTCTTTGGAAAGATAACGAGGAATGAATCAGGAGTTTAGGAATCCTTGCGATCGCTGCTGTGGTCTAATATTGTATGTATGTTGCATCGTATGAATGAAGAGCCCACTACCTCTGTTTGAGGTGGGTTGTGTTTTTATCATCTACCTCCAATGAACAAATAGTTTCGGAACACTTTGTTAAAATGAGCATGAAACCGACATGCGCCGAGCTTGTGACAATGGTAAACGCGATCACCTCCAACTAAAAATGAGTTACCTTCAATACCATACGGGCATCAGAGAGTCTCAGTTCGGCGCAGCACCTATGCCGTATGGACAAGTCGGACAGTCTAGCTTCCTTAGTGCCTGGAGCATGAATTCGGTCTCTCCTCCCATCACTAGTTTATTGCACTGCTGCTCAGACAGTGGGGGCTGGTTCAGCTGCTGAGAACCTTCCCGCCTCGAAGCTTCGGTTTTGCACCCAACCATAGCACGTCTTTTTTTTCCGGCTTCACTCTTTGGGTTGTTGTCGTAGAGACTTCCACCAGAAAAATCTCCAGAATTCATCCGATCAAAATTTCTTGCATTTGCTGAATAAGATGTCATAGCTCTACAGCTGGTAGGCGCAAAAGCAGCTCCAAACAGTGTTAGACCTGCACACTCCAAGAACTTTCGTCTGTTCCTACTATCAGTACAAGAACCCTCGTTGGTGGGCAAGCTTGTTTGAGCAAAAGGTGACTCTTTTATTCCTGTTCTCAATTCAAAGGCATTCGAGTAGAGTTGACTCTGTGATAGAGTCCATAGAAATATCATGGATTGCAAGGACGGCATCTTTCTTCACTTTGGGAGTCACTTTCAAGTTGTTGTTGAAGATGTGACATCTTTCAATTTTGTGATCCTTCACGTTCACGTGACGTCATCCGCACATCGTCTGTCAGCAATCACCCACTCAATATAACCTCTCATCCAAAACTTGCGTCAAAGAACACAACGACGAAAGACAACAAAGGGTACAACTGCAACAACAAAAACAAAAACAACAACAACAACAATAATGGCTACTGAAGAACCTTGGACTCCCGTTGAATACGCTATCAACGGTCTCAAGGTACGAATAGACACTTGAGAAACTGAAACCCGCAAGCTGAAATCGCTGATTTACTTTTCGTCTTTCCACAACTCAGCTGGTATTTGCCATTTCGCCTTTGTTGGTCTTGGGTTATGTCTTGCTTTCTGCATTTGAGTCGGAAGAGGCCGAAATGAAGAAGAGAAGCAAGAAGTCTGATTTTAACTTGGAAGGCCACGGCGAATAAACAAGTCTTTTTTCAGTCAGCTGAGGTGTTTGTTCTTGGTATTCGACCCTTCTTTGCCAGCTGCGGTCTCAGGGTCATTCACTAGGGAGGGATGACGTTAAAGCAATTTTTACTTGATCAAAGTTTCTAGTTGCTAGTAGGAGAAGGATTTATTCGAACGATAGTCGACGTTTCGTCCTATGGGCCGTATTGTGATTTGCCCCTGGAACATTGTTATGATCAAAGGCTGGCGTACCCAGTGGGGTGCATATGAATGTCTAGGATGGAACGCAGAATTTGGAGATTGTCTTGACTCTTCATGGCAATGGGATGTGCCGAGGACGTTCAGAACTTGTTTCTTGCGAGAACCCCTGAGCCACGTGTCTTGATTACTCCTACTGTGCAATCATTCCTCCATAATATTAGGCTCTTGCGTGGAACGATTGCACCGCACTTTTTATCCATTCAACCTTGGATGCATACTTATTAAAGAAGGTCAAGGGGCTGACACTTCAATGGTGGCACGAACGAATTCTTCTTCAACCAGGGGGCAAACACATCTTCTTTTGTCTCTGAGAGCACATCCGTGGCTGCAACATCTCGCTTTGTCTTCATGCTTGACAATCGCACAGTATTGACCTGAGCATCGTTCCCAAAAGCGCTTTCGTCTCCATTTTCGTGTTTACGGTCTCCCTCATACGCGCGACGACGCCGCATTCCATATCCAGGTTACTTTTTTGAAGATCTTTTTATGTACCTGTGAGATGTCATGTCAAGAAACATCCGTCATAAAAGATTTGTTCAACGACGTAGGTAGGTATCCCCCATGTTGTGAATATCTTTCGCGACTTGGCGACGGGCATGAACGATGGTCCAACTCAAACCAACCAGAGTCTCTAAGAGGTGCATGTGTTGTATTGATCTATGATTTTTTGTTTCGCTGTTTCTTCTTGAGAAATTCATATCTGACAATCATTACGGTCTTTGCATCACAGAATAATCAGATTACCAAGATGAAGCTTTCCGCAGTTGTCACCCTTTGCATCCTCGCAGTCTCTTCTGCCTTTGCACCTGCACCAAGCGCGCAAACCAGCAAGGTCGTTATGAACGCCGAACAATCCAGAATGGAATTCCTTTCCGCTGCCGGACTTGCAGTCTTTGGTGCTGCTATTGCCCCTGGTGTTGCCGGAGCAATGGACCAAGAAAATGTCAATGACCCCACTGAGGTCTGGGAGACTGGAAAGCCAAGCGCTGATGCCAAGAGTGCAAGGGCTGCCCGTTATGCCACTGCCCGCACCCAAATGACCTCCAACTTTCCCCCAATCAAGCGCACCACCCTTGAAAGAAAGAGCCCTGTCACCAGATTGGATATCAACGCTCCTGACTTCACTGCTTACAAAAAGACTTACCCCGGACTTTTCCGTGAGTAAGCGTTTGATCTATGGCATTCGTTGGCAATGATGTTCGGACACGTGCGCAATGTGCTTAGTTCAATACTGAATACATTACTTCTGCAACGCTGAGAACACGACTAAATAATTCTGCTAGTAAGCTACATTCTTTAGCGATGGTTGAATGTTTATGACTGTACCAGGCAATTGCTCTTTATAATGAATTCTATATGTGCATCGGAACAACTGCCGTAGATACATCCCTTGCACTTTTTGAAAAACAGGAGAACACACATTACCTGCGATGTTTCTCCTGTTTCATCCGTTTACCCCGTTTACGAGCTTCTGTCACATGCCATATTTCGAAAGGTCTCCATAATGGCAAGGATGGATCAATTCAGATGTAGCTTGACAAACGTACATTTTGTCATCTTCCAGAACGTTCTTCCAATCCCATCTTTTTTAAAAGCGATAGTGAGCAAACAAATTTTCTTGTTTTCGTCATCGCAGAAAGATGGACTTACCCTTCGGAAGCAAACTCAATTGTGTTTCTTGTTGCATTCTCGTGGATCTCAATCGCACTGGACCAAAGCCTTGCCCTTTCTGTTTGGCTATATTCATGCCGCATCGGAATTGGCAAGACTTCAACTTTCTCATCGAAAGAAAGTCGCTTTCTCTTTTTCTTGATTCTTTTCTTCGCACTTTCCTCAGCGCTCTCCTCATCACTTTTCATCCCCGACAATGATGTATCCGAATTCCTGCGGAAGTTTTCGTTCGGCGGAAGCATATGTGTGGACAAACCAACATCCTGAGACGACTTCTTGGCGGATTCCTCCTTGTTAAAATCTGATACTGGGTGGGATCCTGACTCGAATTCAACAGCGCCAAAAGCTGTCATCTCTATGAATGCCACTTGGTATTATCAGAGTAGAGTGCAAGCTCTACAACAGAAAATACACGATGCCCGTCCGAACAGTTGCTTCGTGCAAAAAGAATGTTTCGGTGTCAAGAAAATAGAAAATAGCGGCGATGACGTTATTAGCGATTTCTAGTCGGATGAGTCACATCATATCGCAGAAAGGCAGTCAGTGCAGTCTAGCGATAGTGTACTTACTCAAAAACTGACACCTACAGTACAGTATCAGATTCAGATGGATCATCGCTGCCTCTCGATGTACGCATGTAATACCATCTCTCTACCATTATAGAATAAGTATGCGATCAAAACATGTTGAAAATGATGCTGAAGCTAGATTTTAGCATTCTAAATTATTGGTAACAGAAGTCGTGGACATCATGGTTTTAGACCAGTGCATTCTTCTTGCTCGCAAGTGGTTGTCGTCTGGTTGTAGTTCTAGGTCTGGATTGCTGAGCTGACGCTTTAGTAGTAACTTTTGCCTTCGAGCTACCAGCCTTATTTTCGTCCCCCTGTTGACCTTGTTTCTTTTTCCTCTTGTTCTGCATTTCCTCTTCCTTGTGTCGCTGCCACTCGTCATTTTGAGCCTTGATCACATTAACATAGATTTCTCCCTGGTACTGGAAGTCTTCTTTGTTTCTCTCTTTCCATTCCGAGAGCTTTTCAGTCAAAAGTTTTGTTAGCTTAGGAAGCTCTTTCTTGATTCGTCGTGCCATCTTCTCCTCTTCCATCAGCTGCTTTGCCATTGCTGCCCCACGCTGATTCAATCTACTAGAATCCTTCTGTAGCTCTTCGTACTCTGATCGCTGGCGAAGGATGTCTTCTCGCCGCTCAATGAGTTGTAGTATTGGTTTCATGTGCTCAAATCTTTCCTGGAGAATATGAAGGTACTCTTCATGCGCCTCGAGTAACTCGTTGTCATAGAGCTCTTGATCAATGACATCGATTCCATCAAACTCTTCTTTCGTGGTTGCGGTTGCGTTCGTCTCTTGCCATAATTGATAGATAGATTCGCGAGCCTCTTCGATGAGAGAGCCAAGCATTTCGTTTTTTAGTTGCTTCAGTCTCTTTAATTCACCTTCCCCCTTTCTAATTGTATCCATACCGAGGCCTTTGACACTCTCAGAAAATGATTTCTGTTCGTCTTCTGGGATACGCAACTGTTCCCACAGCATAGCAATTTCTGCTCCCATCTCTTGCAATTTAGTCTTTCGACTCTTCTTCTCCTTTTGTAGTTCAGCTACTCTTTCAGTCAAACGTTCAAGGGCGCTGATACTGATCCCTGTACAGCTCTCTGTTTCGAATTTTGATGACATGATGAAACTGGAGTCCTTCGAGCGAGCAAGGCTACCAGCGATTTGTCGATCAAGAGTAGAATCACTAGCTTGAGCATCAATTGCAAGATCACTCATTAGATGCTGGCAATCTCGCAGAAGTTGAATGATGGTAGAGGTTCTGTTCGTAACCTCATGTTTCATCTCTTCAACTTTTAAGTGGAATTCTCCTCTGCGGCTTTGTGTCAAGTCTGTCTCGATGTCATCCCACTTCGATTCAAGATCAAGGCCCAAGGCTAAATGAGATTCAATCAACTGCTCTTGACATTCTCTCATATCTGCCTTTGCAACTTCCACATCTGCTCTGAGTCCATCGAGTGTAACTTGAAGGGTTTCAAGTTCATTGATGAGTGTCATCTCGTGATTGTCTTCAACCAATCTCGGGTCGATTGGTGTCTTCAAAGCTTCTCCAATAGCCTTTAGTTCTTTCTTTGCCTCGGAAATTTCTTGACGGAAAGTCTCTACCACTCCGAGCTCTTGCGAGATTGTTTGATCGCATTGATCTCGAAAACTCATCAGCAATTCTTTGAGCTGAGTAGCTCTGTCCTGTGGACTGTAGCCAACTTGATCCCATATTTCTTCCAGCTGATGCGCTGTCGAAGATGCAAGTGCATTCAAGGTTTCTGTGATTGTTCGAGAAGGAGAGAGCAAGACATGGCTTCCTCTAGGAGTTCCACTCGGTGTGAACACTGGTTGTACCGGAGTTATTGCTGACAAATAACTGCGATTGTTCTTGTTTATTGTGCTGGGAGTCTTCAGTCGCATACCTTCGAGTAATTGAGACCGAGACTCTGCACTGGGTGACTGGAATGGTAAGCGTGAAGGAGATGCCATGGTTTTGGTTTGATGATCCTGGATGATGGATTGGGACAAAGCCTGAAAACTGCAGTAACCACGACAGGATAACGACAAATTTGAAATGTGACAAAAAAACGGTCACTTGGTCGCGTCCTGTCGTCGTACGTGTACGCCAAAGGAATCAAGAATTCCTGCCACGAAAAAAGTTGTGAATCATTGGTTGCCATCACCATGAACTGAGAAAAGACAATAATTCATTTCACGACGAGCTAACGAACGAAGAAACATGGGGAAAGGATCCAACGTGCAAAAGGCTCAGCAAGCCAGGGAGCGGAATCAAAAGAAGATGGGAAAATCTGATGAAGAAAGAAAAGCAGCTTCTGACAAGGCCAAGAAAGACGCTGCAGCCAAAATGTGTCTAATCTGCAAGCAGACGTTCATGGTCAATGCTCGACCACCATTGCTTTACCAACACCTCGTTGCCAAACATCCAGACATGGTTGATGACCCGGCGAAGTGGGTGCAGGCCCTTCCTGATCTAGCTGGCTTTGATCCGAACGATCCAAAGGGCGAAAAGGCAGCCGCGAAGGCGAAACAAGATGAAGCTGCCGCCAAGAAAAAGCAGGCAAAGAAAAAGAACGATGCCGGCTTGGACGATCTATTGAGTGCTGGCCTTACTGTGACTAAGAAGAAAGGAAAGAAATGAGATTACTGTGATGTTTTAATGTATCGATGCAAACTATTAGGAAAACAAGATTATTCTGTAGTTATTATTCTTTCAACAATGCGTTGGGATATTCTGCCTCTCGAAAGATGATTGGAATGCTACTTTCCATATCCATTCCAAGTGCGCAAACTCGTCTAGTCTATCTATTTTCAATCTGTCTTTTTAAACAATCTACAGTAGCAGGTCCTCCCTCCCCTCCAAAAAATTGCATTGGCGGTGGCGGGTTTCACTCCATTTCACAACGTCATCGTCCCAAGTATTGCACCCCCTTTGTTTTGCACCCAAACCCCAATAGAATGACAACAGAACACAAAAGTATAATACCGGGATATCGTAAATCATATCCAAAAGATACTGTACCCCACCCCGATCAATCAAAGAAACATGGATTCCTTAGATGATTTCCTGGAAACCCTCAAGGTCGATTTGGAATCGGATGACGGGGATCATTCGATAAAATCAGGGTTAGACGAAGAAAACTTTGTCTCAAAGAAACGTCGGGAAACCTTCACTGATTCCATGCTCCGAGATGATGTAGTTCATGTTGTTCAATTTACATCGGCAGCCAGCGTTCAAAGCCAAAATAGAAAACTAATGGTGATTGGACTGATACTTATCCTTAGTATCTCGGGTCTGTTTCGCTTTAGTAAAAGTGTGGTCCCCTTTTTCATGGAAGCTACATCAAAAGTAGAGGAAAAGCAGGCGGTTGGAAATCGATGATGGCATCAGACTCCAGTCTTCAGCCAGTCTTCAGCCTTCGAGCACCAGCATGGTCGAAGTTGCATTTATTGCACTCGCAAGCAGAATCATCCATTACCTTCGCAGACCACATTGGCCTTTGATTTATGACTTGCATTTCAAATACACGGAATCGTAACAAAGCTTTTCAATGGGATTGATTCGATTGTTGCAGCAAGAGAAATTCATATATCTACAGCATTGAATTGGAAGAAAATGACATATCTATTGAATTGGTCAAATGTAATATATTTTCTCTTTAATCACTTATTAAAAGTCTATGAATATCAAGACATGAGGGATAGACTTGGACTCCCTTCAGAGTCAAACGATTACACTGGACACATTTTGGAAGGTGCAGCCACCCTTTCTCTCTCCCTTGCGACATACCAACTTCTAAAGCTCACCTAGGAGGCATAGTGTCCGGTTGCGTAAACGAGAATCCTTGATTGGTGGAATGTGACACGGAACTTGTCGAAGTACCTTCTGTTGCCAAAGTTCCGGCAGTGCTGGCATCGCGTGAGAATTCTCCAGTATCGCCAAACGCCATACTGCTCCAGACATCCATGCCAGTCATACTGACCGAACGATCATACGAGCGACCTGACTGCTGGGGTCGACCAAGTTCAGGTTGTGGTTCTGGCGTCTCGGTAGGACTGGGAGGCTCTGCCACCACGAGAGCAGCGTTCCCCGAAGAAAAACCAGAACCGGTCAGCATTTGCTCTTGTCGCTGCACAACTCGTCGAAGTTCAGCAACTTGTTCAACCAAATCTTCGTTGCTCTCTCCACCACTAGACTCCTTTGTCTTTCGTGCGTATCGAAGAATATCACTGACAACAACGTTTGTGGACAATGCGTTATGGTATAACAACCAAGTCTGGATGTGTCCTGGTAGTTGCAATGCACCCAAGATAAAGAGAGGAAGGAAGATGATATGCGCGCATACCACATCGTGGATGAAGTAAAAGAACTTCACAAACCTGTTTAAACCAAACAAGAGTCCCACCAAACAAATTGCCCCAACTCCATAGTAGGCTGCGATGGCATAGCGCAGGTAATTGATATCTTCGATAAACAATGTAATAATTCCAACAAGTAAGCCAACGAAGATCAAGATTCCGATAGTTCTTCTCACTGGATATGGCATCATCCTCTCGTTTTGATTGAAAACGTGGCCAAGGAGTAGAAGCAAGATGATAACCCACAACAATTTGCCAACAGGTATCGCAGGAGTGGATAGAGAAACATCGGTTCTGAAAAGGTCTGACTGACGGATTCCTTCCGCAACCAACCAGAAGAGCACAGCTTTGGTACAATATAACATTTTTGAAGCAAACGCCATTTTCTTGAAGTGCGCGTTCTCTTCGTTCCACCACATCGACCAACTCTTTGATGCGCCACCAGAACTGCATTGCATCCATCTCAACCAAAGAACGTAGTCGTTGGAGCAAACATTCCAGTCGAAAGTCAATGGGTTGAACCAGAATGGGCTTGCCAAGAAAGAAACAGACGCAAGCCACAGTGACCAAGTTCGACCGAAGTATTGGGCAGCATCTGTGTTCAAGCCCATCAGAATCAAGCCAGCTCCAAGTTCAATACCCAAGTACAGATGACTCGAGGCGAAGAAGCGGAACTGTTCGTCCATTGCAGTGTGTTGAGTCACGAAACCACGTCCAGTTGCACGATACTTCGCACCACCAACAAGAATGGTTTGTGCCATGTAGTTTGCCTTTGTCTGAATGTGGAACATAAAATGAAGGGGTCCGCCAGTCGCAAAAACCATGAAGATCTCTTGTAAACTGGCGAGCCAGCCTCTTTCAACTCCAAGAGTTGCAAAAAGAGGAATCGTTTGCAGAAGACCAAGCCCTCCAAGCATCATCTGGATTGTACCCATGGGTGTGATTATACGGTCACCGATTTTTTCGAGATTGAAGAGTGCAAGGACAGCCATCAAATAAACAACGATATAGACAGTCAAGATGGTCAAAACGTTGGAGAAGTAATGACCAATACCACCATAGTAGAAAGATAGAAGACGGCAAAAGTCCAATCGGTGACACATTCGATAGACATCACGCGACAAACTCTGCTCTCCAGCTCCTTGACTTAACTTGGCTTCGAACTTGTAGATTTGACTCATACCAACATCACGACCCTTTCCAACCTGAAGATATTCTTTGAAACCAACCGATCCGCCACGAATGACATTATTGTATCCAGCAAAAATATCTTCGGAGAGGTTGATACCTTTGGAACTCTTGCTGATACCACCACGGGTGATGAAGAAGAGTTTGTCAAACAAATCAGGATGACCGTAGTGAAGACGAATGTGCAGTGGCCTGGTGAGCACACGCTGACCAAGGGTGACAAAGGAAGTTTCTTGGAGTGCCATATAATTCGCAAGCGAGCTCACACTTCCAGTGAAGATATGTTCTCTCAAACCAAGAATTGTTGTTGGCAGTGGTCCTTCACGCTTAGCGAATTCTTGGAGACAGTTTCTCATCTTCAATGCTTCCTCAAAGTAGCCTTCCTGGTTCATGTCGATGGTTTGCAGAAATTCGCCACGGGTGAAAATCATGGCGTGATTCTGATTCTCTGGCTTTCCTTCGCCAATCACTGGGTTTCCTGGTAGACGAACTCTGTAAATCTCTTGGACACTGCCTCTGCCATCACTCTTTACCAAACAAGAATAGCACACGGAAGCACCAGACCTGTTGATACGAATGGTATCAATGTATGCTACGCGCAAGTGTGGGTATCGATGCATCAATGCGTCAATGTCGTCGGCCTTTGAATCTTGATTTCGTTTCATTTGTCCATATACCTGACAAGAGACAATGTATCCAAACTTTTCACCCAATAGATCATTCGTGGTGTCTTCGTCGAGACGCTCCATATTTGCAAGCAGTCGCAGTGCCTTCTCGTAGTACATCATTCCATTCACAGTTCGGCTAAGAGTCTGTGCGCGGATACTCGCCCATCTTCTAGTCTCTTCGGCATATTTCTTAGTCCACAACTTCTCTTCGTCTTGAATGTCAAGTCTTTCCAAGAAATTATTCCAGTCATCTCGGTACAGTGTTTGTAGATACAGCAATGTTGAGACACCAAGTGCATCTGTCCGTTGGTCCAAGTCTGATTTACTGTAGCTCACAGGTTCGGAATAGTAAGGTGTCAAAACGTTCCAAGAAAACATGTCGTGAATCGAAGGAGCATCGGGCATATCCATAAACAGCGAGTTGACAAAGAAGGTCAATCGTCTGCGGGCTTCCTTCGACTTTGGCTCGGCATCGTCTGGATGCATGCACAATAGACCGTCGAGCTTCTTCAAGACAGCCTTGAAGTTCGAATTCTGACAGACTATATCCAACTGATTTGAAGCATAAGCATCGTCCCAGAAGAAGCCATTTTCCATGCTTCCCAAGAAGGTAATCCGATCCAGCACATCACGAGTCTCTGCATCGCCATATGAGTTCTTCAGCAGACCCTTGACACCATGCATGAAGTTGCGCAACTTGTCTCTAACTTGGTCTCGCATTGCGTCGACGATTGGCTCCTGTTTGGTAGTTTTGCTCTTGAATTCTGGCTTTGACTCTGTTTCAAGACTGCCAAGAGAAGTTGCGCTAACAGCACGTCGCATGCCTCTATTCTTGTTTTCCGTTGGCTTGGACACTTCAGCGCGTTTGGACGATAGTCTCGGCTTCGTTGCTGGCTTTCTATTCTTGATTCCCTTCGCAAGAATTGTTATGGCAGCAACGAAATTCTTAATAACACCTCGTACAGAATCAAGTTTCATCTTCGTAGTCAAATTAGAATCTTCTGCCCATCCTTGAATCATGACCCCAACCGTATCGATATCATCGCCGTGGATGGGTCCAAGGACCTGTCTCAGCAGAAAGGCACCTAGCTCCCAGACTTCCGAAACTGCAGTTTGCATGGTCACATGACTGGAGATCGGTTGAAAGTAGGTTTCATCAGTAAACATGCCAGTCTTAGGATCGGAGTATTCCTCTGCAGGTCGCTCTAGTTCTGACAGAACATCCTCGATAGCACCGGCAGTCTGGAAAACAGGCAAATAGATCGCTTGACTAAAACCGTCGAACTGGCTGAACTTCAGATTATCACTCTCTGTATTCGATATGATGTCCTCTTCTCTGAAGTGATCAATGATTTCGTTCCAGGCTGCACTGAACATTACCCACTTCTGAATTCTCACGTCAAGAAGTCTATTGACATAACTCTGCAATCGATGAGATGAACCACCCAGCAAAGAAGCAGTCTCTGCCAAGCTACCTCCAGAAGTTGAACCAACGAAACTAGCTGTGGACCCTCTGCGGCTTCCAGCGTCTGGTGACAGCATTTTCTTGCAAAAATGCTCTGGGGCACGCCCAAAGTTCTTTCTGATATCGTCCATTGATCGCACATCACCCAGGTTATCAGAGAATCCAATAGATGTTCCAGCAAATGCTTGCCAAGCTGCATACCAAATACTCATGTCAATGAGGTAGACTATGAATTGCGGTGTCCAGCGCATTGTCAACAGAAGCATCATCTTGGCAAAACTTTGGTTGGGATAGTTCACATAGTCATCGGTCAGCTCAATCGATGGTAGAACCATTGAATATACTTCAAAGATGTAAGAGAAGAATAGCTTCCAGGCCATCAGTGTAATCCAAAAGAAAAGATAGACCACGGTGTGTCCGAAAGATTCGTGAACTTCCTTTCCCACGTACAACCGGCTGATTGGGTACAGGATGTTCAGAAAAGCCTGCACGTAGTCATTTTGACTGGTGTAAATCTTGGTTGTCAAGGCTGGATATACTTGCATGAGCGTTTCAAGAATGTACGGAGTCATGACCAGCAATGAAAGCCAAATATACTGCCACCACCAAAATGTCGAATCCGCCTCAACTCCAAGGAACTTTCCATGCTCTGGCGAGAATGCCCACATGATGTAGAGCGATTGGTAGACAAGCGTTAAGAACCTCGCTAGCAAAACCAATAAAGAGCCACAAACCTCAGTACCGCTCATTTGGATACCTGGGTAGCTGCCCCAAACCTCCAAAAGGGCCCAGAAAAGGTGTAACACATTGAAAATCCAAAAGACACCACTTGCAATTTGCAAGGAATACACCCAGCCCCAAACCAATTCGTTGGAAAATGCAACCACTGCCAGGAGATAAAATGTCACAATATGCCACTCAAAAATACGACTCAATGCAAGAAGTCCTCGCAACCAAGACCTCTTTTCGAGAAATGTTTTTGGAGCATCCGCAAGTCCTTCCGAGATTGGGGGCATAGTTTGCCCTGGGAGTTGTCCAAATCCACTTAGCAGTTCGATATCTTGCTGCTCCGTCTGATCAACATTTGAGTAGTGGTAGTTCAGACACTTTCGAGACCAGAAGAATTCATTGATGTCATCATAGTTTCTCCTTTCGGCATGATCCTTCGGCGATTTCATGCTCTGTAGAAAATAACTCGTTTTGGTCAGTTTGATCCTCAAACCAAAATGTGATCATCCAAGAAAATTGACTTACCTTGCTAACGATAGCATAGATTGGTTCCACAACATTGTCAAGGAAGTGGCCGGCATACAGGCTTCGTGTTTGAGTGTAGCCCTCACTTTTAATGTACTCAGCCATCATCTTGTGGTACAGAAACCAAGTGCACTCAGGCATATGTCTGAGATTGCAACCTTCTCCCCAAATGCAGAAATACAAGACTAAGTCAACCACCCGACTAGCAACCGCAGGAGGTGCTGAGATGGATGAATTCATTTTGGAAAACTGTGGTGGGACACCCATTGCACGGCACCATTTGACGTAGTTGGAGAATACCTTCGCATGAAGAGCATGGATTGGGCTTGGAGGTTGTACAGAGGGAGGAAGAATATGGCTGCTCATGTATCTTCGATTGTTACTGATCAGGATAAGCAAGTGCTCAGCTTGGTTGCGAACCGCGGAATCCTGGAAGCCGAAGAAATTGCCAATGTCTTCACATGCAGAATAAACCATGTTCGCATACTCTGCGAGCCGTGGTGGAAGATCTGCCGGATCAAACATGTTGAAAGCCTCAAGATTAGCTGATGTATCCTTGACAGCGTAGGGAGGCTGTGTCGTTCCCTTTGAAGCCTTTGGTTCACTAGAAGACGCTTGACTTCGCGCGTGCTGGAGTGCCTCGACTGGATTCAGTCGCTGCAAGCCTCCATCAGTGTATATCATTGCTGCTGCCACAAGTACTGAAGCTGCAGTCCAAGCCAAACTGAATACGGTTCCAGATGTCAAATTGAACGAATAGAGGTTCTCAATCTCATTTGGATAGAGCGGGTAACCTCTAGCTACATCCATAATGTAAAAGATCGCAGGCTTCATTGCAACTGATGCTGCAATACCACCTGTTTCAATGATTGTTGCCCAGGTGACCATATAGGTAGGGTTTCTAAAAAAAAGTGCGTTGAGAGAACCAACAGCATACGACGCATCACAAGAGAAAGGGGGCAACCCAAACCTACCGACTAGAAACCACTGCCCCAACCAACGCAGCCGCACCGCAAATGATAGGACAATACAAAGTGCTGGCCATTCCAAGGTAACATCCGACTAAAAGCCCGGTAGAAGCTCCGAAACATAGTCCAGGACAAAAAGCTGGAAGTAAAACTCCAAGAGCCATTCCAACCATAGAAGAATACAGGGCGAGAACCCACAATGCAACATTTGCAAGATCAAGACCAACGGGTGTAAACAAGGGCTCCAAGAAAGTAAATGTAAGAAACCCTGCAAGGGCTGCCGACAACAATCCAGAAAAGAACCTTGGGTTGCTGAGAGGTTCAATGGCAGTGTGAGCGATAAATTCAATTTTCCTCCGATGAAGAAGTTACCAATGACTTACGTAGAAGACTCTCTGGAGTACCAAACTATTGAGGCTGCTAACACCAACCGAATCGCAGGATACGCAAATTCCGAAATGGTGTCGACGAGGTCGACGGACCCTTTCTCGGCGGTTCCCATTGCAGATTGCGTGTGTTTTCGAAACCTGTTCCGACAAGAAGAAAAATTGGCCTACGCAGTCCAATATGAGATCTCCTCTCTTTCTCTTCCACAGTTCACGCTCTCTTGATTATTGGACTAGAGCGTTTTATTAGCGATGATAATGGACAGTACAGTTGGATCCAGAACCAATCTTCCAAATCATGACGAATGTCTATTTTCGACTCTTTCGACTTCAAAACACGCACTAGAAGTGCGTACGACAACTTGGAGCTTCCGGGTGTATGATATACGGCGACGAAGACCAATCATTGACTCTGGAATCTCAAGATACGTCAGATTTGGTAGACCAATCACATGCAATGAACAAACATCTGCTCACCCTTTTCGACGTCATCTCATTTCTTTCGTGCCAACACTTTTCTGAAACGATCGACATCATTATTCTGATGGCCATGACAAGAAAGCTTCTTTCAGTGGCTTTCTACAGCACCCTTTGCGCACTTAACCTCCCGGAGTCAAGTGCATTTATACCAGCGGATTCCCGTCAAATGTCATCTCCCCTACACATGACAACAAACAGCAATGAATTTGACTTAAATAATGTCAAGGCTATCCTTTTCGATATCGACGGAACCCTTGCAGACTCCTGGAAGCTTGGTTTTGACGCGACTCAAGTCGTTTTGGAGAGCAATGGTGTCGGAAAAATAACAGAAGAGGAATATCACCAAGGCTGCATATATGCAACTCCAGAAAGACTAGCACGGCATGCAGGTTTGAGCCCGTCAGACCCTACCTTCGACGAGGTTGGCGAGAAACTTGGGAAGGAGTTCGATGATCACTATGTTGGTCTTGTTAGTACGGATACAGCTGGGTTCTATGATGGCATTGGCGATTGCTTGGATTCCATACCTTCCACCATCAAGTTTGGAGCTCTCACAAACGCCTGTGTTGGATATGCGTATGCTGTTTTGAAGTGCAATTCAAACGAGAAAAACAACATCTATGATAGATTTGAGTCAATCAAGGGAGCTGATAATGTCCCTATGCCAAAACCAGCACCAGATGGCTTACTTGCTATCTGTGCCGAACTCTCTGTGAAACCAGAAGAGTGCGTTTATGTTGGGGACAGCCCAACCGACGGAAAAGCAGCCGAATGCGCCGGGATGCCTTCAATTGGTGTTCTTTGGGGAAGTCATGATGAAGAAAGCTTGAAGAAGGCTCCCTTTAAGCGATTGTGCAAGAATATTGATGAATTGAGAGGTCTTTTGGGAGTAGTACCAGTACTCTAGATATACCTGGATTGTAGCTACAGTACAGTTCCTCATACTCATTTTTGGATGAATTCCATTTTCATGACTACTATAGTAGGCGAGTACGATCTCTTCGTTCCTTCGATTTGGCTATCAAGAGCCAGCAGACGACTTAAAGACTACGATACCATACTGGTACACCATGCGATACGATACAGCAGATACGATACGATACGATACTACCGGTAGGTATAAATACTGTGTTATTTTAAATGTCCCCAAATATATGATATTTCCCTCTCCCCCAAGACGGGATGCCAGTTTTTGCAACACAAACCACAGAAAACATCATTGTCTCTCATGATCAGGAATACAAACACAGCGAACTCACATCAATATCGATCCGTAGAAGAGGCATGTGAATCGTCTCGTTCGACAGGGGAGTTTTCCTCTACGCAAAGCTTGGATTCTGCGATCCCAATGGAACGATTTCCCGAACCGCCGAATTTCATGGAGAGTCGACAGCAAAGGCGAGCAGTGATTCTGTTCTCAATCACCTCGATGCTTCTATTTGCGGACCAAAATCTAATGTCACCAAATTTGACTGCAATTGCGGAAGATTTCGGCTTCAATGAAGAGGAACGGGACAGAAAGCTTGGGGGTGACATCAGTCTTGCATTCTTTCTTCTCGGTGCTCCTGCTTCATTTGTGATTGGATATTTGGCCGATACTGCCGACCGATCTTTAATTTTTGCCTGGACTGTGCTTATTGGTGAAGGCGCCTGCTTCCTGACTTACTGGACGACGACATATCAATCTCTGTACATATGCAGAGCTATCACTGGATTTTCGGTCGGAGGTGCTCTGCCCCTTATATATTCCATCCTTGGAGACTTGTTCGCAGCTGAAGATCGCCATCGAGTCAGTGCGATAGTCAGTTTTGGATGTGGTGCTGGAATTTCTGTAGGACAAGCTATTGCTGGATACATTGGGCCTACTTTTGGTTGGAGGCTGCCATTTCTGTTAGTGAGCATCCCTGCAGTCCTCCTGGGGTTTGCTGTCCTTTGGTTTGTTGAAGATCCCCCGAGGGGACAAATGGAACAAGCAGTTCTGAAAAAAAACCTGGAAGATGGCATTGCACTTGTATCAGTGCCTTCAGAGTCGAATGTTGCGCTTCGTGAAGATTCGGACGAAAAGGCAACCGTTTCTGGGAGGGGTGGTCCAACAACAACTGATATGACACCGGATACTTTCTTGGACGATGAAATAGCACAAGCTAGTCGCACTTGGGTGTACTATTTTCGAACCCTCCAAACTCTGTTGTCGACTCCAACAATGGGTAAGCATTACGCAGTAGATGGCAGCACGGTCTTACAGTCTCTTGAACTATTCGTCCTCAACGTAGTGTTCCTTGTCTCCTCAGTACTGGCTCTCATTCAAGGCGCAACTGGTTGTGTACCTTGGGGAATTTTAAATGTCTATCTCACCGACTATTTATCGGAAGATAGGGGATTTTCGGTGGAAGTTGCTACTACCGTTCTCATGTGTTTTGGGGTTGGGAATACCTTAGGCTTGGTGCTTGGCGGGTCATATGGAAGTCACCTCTACAAGATCGACAACAGATATCCCGCACTACTAGCAGGATCTATGGCGGTCCTGGGTTGTATTCCATTTTGGCTCTTGATAAATAACGTGGATTCGTCAACACCTTTTTGGTTGGTGGTTCTGATTGCGGGATTGGCAGGATTTGGAACAGGCCCCACGGGGGCAATTGTGAAGGCAACTGTGACAAACATATCCCTCCCAAGGACACGAGGTCAGGCCTTTGCGCTCTTCACTTTAACAGATGACTTCGGGAAAGGGCTCGGACCCTACTTTGTATCGGTTCTAATTGTCAGAATGGGAGGCCGACTGGCAGCCTTCAACGTCGGGTTGATGGGGTGGATAGTTTGCGGAATATTCAATTTGGCAATGTACTTTACAGTAGCCAAAGACGAGGCGTGGATACAAGCCGAGGTTGCTGCTGGAGTGTAAACAACAGTACTCGGCCTATTATGTTTCTTCTAGAATTTTTTCTGCACTCGTGACTCAACATATTGACGCAAGATTCAACGTAGATCCCAAGTGCAATGGACATATTTGCCAAGGGCAACTGATTATGTCACAGTGTTGACATTTTTACGCTTACCATGTCTTCAACAACAACACAGCGAAGAAAAGGTGGTGCTCCAAAGAGTGTGGAGAACTTCAAAATCGCCGTTCCGTTGGATGATCCACCAATTAAAGCAGAGGTTATGCGTCGGAAGTTTGGTACGGGTGCCTTCGACCAGCATTGGCTGAACACCGATTGCTGCGGTTTATTTTGCGCATTTTTCACGTATGGCCTTCACGTTTATGGAGTTTATGCTGTTTGCTTAATTCTTATCCCTCCATGGATGAGCACATTGGATGAAGATGGTGTCCGATCCTTGACTCTGATGGGTCATCTCCATAGACTCTGCTTCACTCTGATTGCTGCGTTGGCAGTGTACTCGCATTTCAAGGCGATGACCACAGACCCTGGTACAGTACCGCCAGACGCAATGCCACTTTCAGAGGATCCCAGCAAGGATGATCAAAATGGGAGCGAGATGGATGCACTAAATCAACCGAAACGAGGGAAAAGATTGTGCAGAAGGTGCAGTTCCTTCAAACCAAAACGAGCGCATCACTGCAGCGTCTGCCGGAGATGCATCGTGAAGATGGACCGTAAGAATTCATCTCTATTGCTTCTAACTCGCATGATGACCGTTGCTCACAGTATTCTTAACTTTTACCGGTACCAGATCACTGCCCATGGGTCAACAATTGCGTTGGTATTGGCAACCACAAATATTTTCTGTTGTTTGTCTTCTACACGTGCCTCTCGTGTATCTATTCCTTCAGCTTAGTGATCATCCGATTCTACACTTGCATGGGTCACCATGGCCATGCCCGTTCTCATCACCTCACTTGTTTGGATCGACCAACACAATTGATGAATATATTAGGATTACTCGTTGAAGCAATTCTCTTTGGACTCTTTACGAGCTGCATGATGTGTGATCAAGCAGGAGTAGTCACCACAAACATGACTCATATCGATAGGTTGAAAGGTGACGCTGCGGCGAATGCAGTATCTGGTATCGTTGAAGTGTTTGGGTTAAAGAATAAGCGCGAGACTTCCGAAGGTACTAAGTTTCGACTTGATTGGTTGTCTCCCTTTGGACAAGTTTGTTTCCCAGGTCCTCTACAGTGAGTAAAGAAGTGTCATTTTGTTTTTGCACGCATCTGTTTGTACCACCTCTCACTAAAGTGTCTGTAAGTGAGGAAATTCTAGGCTATCGCACGCCATGCAGGAGTGTCGGAGGTCATCCTACTGCAGAGTCTGAGATGGTATCGACTGGGACAATGGTTCGCAGTGTACAAGAGATGGTCTAGTAATATTTCTTCAATCCAAACACGTTGTAACCTTAATTTTGAAACCAACTATTGCCGCTCTCAAAGCCTGATTGTCTAACATTTATTGCTATGACACAACATTACATTCCGTGGGATCGTACCAATCGGAGCAAGTTCTGAACTTCCTTCTTGTCCAAAACAAGCATGCCTTCCGGAGCTTTTCCACCACCCATCAAATTCAACCCTCCTGAGCCCTGGTACTTCTCCAAAATGTTGCCAACCTTCTCTAGGCTCAAGTACGGATACTTTTTCTTTCGGTGACTTGAGTTTTCTGGTTGCAAAAGGATTGGAAGATCTTTGTCGAGCATGGCATCAGTGATAGATTTCAATTCGTCGAAACAATCCACAAGCTGGGGAACACCAGTGCTCTCTGCAAACATGCGAAACTCCTGGACGTCGCGGGAAAGGTTCTTCAATCCGAATCCGTCAATTCTTGATATTGGCGGAAGCCCTCCATCCATTGCTAGGCTGCCCTCAACAGGACGCTCAGATAGAATTTTCACGAGACGCTCCGAAACATGACCACAGCACGAGAAGTGCAGACCTGCTCGCGAGCCTTCATCCATTGGTCCAAGTGCATCGAATAGGCTCTTCATATAACCAATCAAACCCTCACAATACGGGTTTGGTACATTTCGCACGCTCTTGGCGACCCAGTTGAATCCATCCAGTGCATAGTTGAGATGAGCGTCAATTTTGCTTCTGCAAATCTCGTAGATTGTGCTGTACATTCCTCCCACTTGGTTGTCACACTGTTTATCTGCGTTCTTCAGTGTGATCTCTGCGTACTGAAACGTTTCTGCAAGTTGATCTGATCGAATCATTCCGACGTGACAAAGTCCTCGCATCAATGTACCAAAGAGTCGTGGGAGACTCGATTGCAAAGCTGTGATATTGGCCATAACCTGGACCGCCTTTTCCACAGTCACCTCTTCTCCCTTATTGCTTGCATCCTTCATTCCCACCGCAGCTACATTGACAAAGTATTCAGCACAGTCAAGAACATAGCATGCTGCTCGGCTACCTTTCTTTTGCAAAAACGTCTGACCCAACTCTTCTTGGCTCAGTGCAAATGCCGCACAAGCGATGGCTCTGGCATGTATGGACCTGAGAACAAGGGGGACGGAGTTGGAAAATGAGTGTTTTTCACCTCCCGAAGATCCCGCGCCACGTGCTTTACCATCCTTGCTTTGCTGCTTTAGATCGCACAATCCAAATGGCAGCCCCATCTCTTCTGGCGTTGGAACGTTTCTATCGCTACTGGTTGGAGACTTGGAAGTTGCCGGAATTGGTTCCTTGTTGTCTTCCGTGACGAGTGCTATCGTAGCCTTTAATTGCTCGTCTTGTGCAACCTTCAACGCAGTCATTAAGATATCAACGTCCATAGCAAGCAATTCTTTGTCAAACCTTCTGGTTGTAGAACTAGGGTGAGTAATCTTGAGAGCTGATCGGAAAGCTGCCATGAGACAAGACGCCCGCACCAACTCCGGCAAGTTCGCACCGACAGCACGGGTTCGGAGGCAGTTTCCAAGTTCTGTAACCAGAGATCGTTCATAGCGTTCCGAAGATTCTCGAAAGCGAGTGGCAACGGCTGCTTTGGCAGCGCCGGGGTCAACACCCTTTGTTTTCTCCTCTTCGTCTTCATCGACAAAGTGTCCCAGCTCGAGTGCAGCTTCCACAGCACTGAATCCAACAACACTGGCACACAGATGTGGCAAACTTTTTGCAAAAAAGATTCTGTCAGTACCGACACTAACATCATCTCCAGTGAGGGATGACAGAGAACTTCGAGATTCGTTCTTGCCGTCCTTCGTATCACCAGAGGAACCAATTTGGACATCACCGAACCTGTTCTGTTCGTAATATTGAACAAACTCTTCAGCTCTGCCCAGTAGTTTGAAAGCAATTTCTGCTCGTCGAACAGGGTGTACAGACTCTGCTAGTGCCATAAATTTGTTATCATCGTCAGTTCTACAACGAATAGTGAGAAAAAAGCTTAGAACGGTTTGCTTCAACAGACGGAGCAACATAGTTCAATCCGAGTATTACATACCTGGTTGGACTGTTTTCAAACAGAACTTCTGGAGTCAACAGAGCTGCCCAGTTGCTTCTTTCGTCATTGGTAGTTTTCTTGGCTGTCGAGGTAGTAGTCAATCCCTGATTGGTTCTTGCCGTTTTGGCACGGAACCCCAGCGATGATCGACCATGTCGGCTGCCCCCCATTCCGTGTCTCGATCCGCCGTGTGCACTTCCGGACATTCCCTTGTTGCTTTCAGCGATGGCAGCATAATCACTAGGATCCACTAAGAGGGTGACACTTTCGTCCCAACATCTGTACCATCCAAAAGCAGACGCAAAGGCTTCAGCCCTTCGCTCCATTCCTGGTGATCTGGACTCCAATCGTTCTGCCTCCTTGGTTGCATCGCGTTCAAACCAATATCCCAAACGAACAGCTCTGACCACGCGGCCATTTTGAGTTAATCGCGCAATCAAGTTGTCCGAGACCTTTGCTCTCCAAATATAAGATGGTGGAACGTGCCCTCCAAGTCCCAAATTACCTGGCCCTACAGCCATGGAATTGGCGCACCTTCGAAGAACAGCACGCCCAGCCTTGGCACCATCTCCACCACTACGCAATGCCAAGAACCATCTGTTGAGACCACGACGAGCTCCCATAAGAACTTCGTTTTCAATTTTTGGCAACAAGAGACTGGCTCGTCTTCCAAATGGTGTTTCTTCCAGACTCATAATACTCTTTGTTTCCGCGTCCTTACGTTCTTCCTTGGTCTTCTTCCTCATCGCTGCCTCTTGGAGAATCTGTGCCGCATCCTCCATTTGAGGTCCGGCAAAGAGGGACGACATGGGGGACGTGAGCGCATTTCGTGCTTCGTCCACCGCTTCTAGGGCTCCTCGAGGTCTACCCAAAGCTGCTTGTTTACGAGCTCGCTCCACATGCATGGCAACTTTCTGACAAGCACCCACCATAGTGTAAAGTGCCTTGGCACGTGCATGGGATCCAGTTGCGTCTTCCCACAATACTGCACCATCTCGCATTGGTCCTGCGGTCTTGTTTTCCAATTCTGATTGTGCCTGTGTCAATTTGTTGGCAAGATCCGCAGAAGGTCCGCCCAATGCCACAACTTTTCCAACAGATGCCAAAAATACATCTGAATGGTCATGACAGACCTGACCAATTCTTCCACTATTTTCTTTCGCTTCTTGGACCAACTCACTGTGCAAGTCTCGATCCAATCCTCTCTCCAAAGCTGCTGCAACAGTACTCGCCACAATCCAATCTTGCGATTCCTTGGTTGGTTGAGCTTCCGTTCCGCCAAACTTGCGGTCCGGCCTGGCCTGAACATCGGCCACCAAACGTCGAACAGCTTCTTCTCGTCGGCGGCGGGCTCTAGCAGTTTCTTTGCCAACAGTGTTGGGTGGTGTTTTGGCAATGCTGGCACGAGCTGAATTCTCCGGTTTGGACGGAGTTTCCATCTTGGTTTCTCCCATGTTGTCGGCCATCTTGTACTAGTCCAAGTGCGTAAATGAAATGAGATCCAAACTGTCAAATCAAGCTAGGATATGCTTCAGACGTGGCTGCCAGCGTATACAAAGCTTTGGAAGAATGCTTTGATTGCCTCCTAAGGAATTCTCGCCGGTTTTCTTTCCGTATCAGTTTAAAGGCTCGTGGTGTTGGTGACGAACCGTTAATGAGTCCAAAAGACTGATTCTGTTGGATGCAATCAATCAGATGGATGATCGACCATCGAGGATATCCTTTTGGCTTACAGGTGCTTGCAGCTCACAACGGATGACCGAAGCCAAAGCCAAAAGCAAAAACAACCCGGAGGAGGAGAAGTCAACGTAGTCGACTTTTTTTTAAAAAATGCTCATTTTATATGTTGTACTGAACTATATTTACTGTTTGATTATTCATTTGTCACCGTGTTGTCCATGATGCCACCGCCATTCAAACGCAAGGATAAAATGTCATCTCTTCAAAGGATTAACATTCCCATCTTTATGCCGTTTTTAGTTTCGCTGTTATCAATTCATTCAACTATTTTATCAGCGCAACAAAGCGTTTTCGTTGAAGCTCTTGTTCTCAGTCAATCCCCTCAGTACCACCACGCAAGATCCAACTCGCAGCTTGTGCCCAGCGCCACGGCTAGATATGCTGGATTCTGGGATGGTCTTTCCGACTTATGGGAAGAAGTTATTGAAGTCAGCACATATGGTCCCAGTGAACGAAAGCTTCTGAAAAAACAACGAGAACAGCAAAACCAACAGGTACAACAACAAGAAGGAGAGCAATCTGCTGTTGAACAAGAGCCATCAACTGCCAACGACGAGCAGTCAACCTCCTCGTATGACCTGTACGAAAACAATGACTCAGAGGCTTGGATGAAAGCCTTTGGAGTAGAAAAAGACAAGCGCACTCCGCGAGAAGAGTCCAATCCTCCCATTGATGGATACGGGCTGCGAGACTTGCTCCTGGCAAAATGGGGAGCTCCTTTGGACATTGATTTTCAACGTAGTCCTTTCCAAGTGGATGTCCTATATTGCGCAATTTTACCAGTAGTGGGCTACGGTGACAGGAAAGGACGGGGACGCGCTCTACCTGCGAGACATGAGTCAGAGTTGGACTACTTGATGCACCTACAAGGGGTCATCGAAGTCTTACATGAATACGATCAGCTGGAAGGATTCCTAGTAATGATTGAGACCACCAATAAAGTACCTAAACGAGGGACAGAGTCAGTCTTGTATCAAATGAAGCTGAGCCGTGAAGAATTGAAACGAGTTTTGAACCTGTAATGGCGAATAACAAACCAGGAACTGGAATGGCTCGATGAATGTGATTCTACTTTTCACACAACGATTGCATGAGACTGCTTTGTAAATCTCGTTTTTCTTGCATGTTTACACACTGCAATCTTCAGTTCCAGTGTAGTAGATTTTTTATGTCCCTTGAGGCGAGGTCAGAAAGACCTTGTTGATCCTTTCGACTAAACTTTGGAATAGCACAGGCGACATGCATGAACAAACAAGAAAAAGTGACTCAGAGATGCATCATCGCATTTTTTCGTCAAAGAATCATGCAACCTCGAACACAATAACCAAAGCTACGATGACAATGAAATCAATTTCCATCGCTGCCCTTCTCTCCCTTGCCACTGTTGGCCATGCCTATAGCCCTAACCCTGCCATTGGTTTGGCGGCCAAGGGTATGGGACTGCTCAAACCAATCTTCGGATTGGAGGCACAAATCCAAGCTGCCGCACTTGGTGCCATTTCGAAGGTGGACAAGGATGATGTTGTTCAAGAAATTAATTATCAAAAGACACAGAACAAGGCTCTCATCTACACTTACGGCTTGAGTCCCTTCAGCTCCGAAGCAAAGGCAATCCTCGAGGCGACCGACTATGAATTCAAGGAAATTGAACTTGGCGCTGAGTGGTTCCTATTGGGAGGAAGAGGTTCTGTCACAAGAGTGGCTTTGTCAGAAGAAGTTGAGGGAGGAGCGACCAGTCTTCCAAAGATTTTCATCGGTGGAAAGTGCATCGGAGGTTGCAATGAACTTTCAGAACTGGCTACCAGTGGAGATCTTGATTCTCTTCTTGCCAACGCGAAGGTTCCGAAGAAGGGTGCCCCAGCAAAGAAGGGCGCATTCTCATTCTTCGAATAAATAGCAGCATAGCAGCACTCAAACTTTGATCTATGATTTTACATGCTTCTAGTCTCTTTTGACAATATCATGTCAATATGCGTTTCTCTATATCTGCCCTAACCTTGCACAACATCCGGGGACGTGAAGTCCAAAGTTCTTCCTTGAATTATGGTCTTGATTCCTGTCGATTCTTTCGATAATGCAGCAACAACAACAGTCATATTGTCCTTGGAACCAGCGTTGAGACTCTCCCGAAGAAGTGCGTCTCCAACTTCTGGAAGAACGGTATCCGTTATTTCTTTGCGAACGCTGACTTGATCAAGAACAAACTTCATGACCTGCTTGTTATCAAGCACGTCGAACACTCCATCACAGGCCAATACCAAGTACAAATCACGATCTGGGTCTCTTTTATGAACTCGAACCTCAGGAACGGCAACAACGGCCTGTTCCTCAGGCGGCAAGCTTGTGTTGAGTTTGTACTCAAAGTCACCAAATGCACGGGAAACAGCCAGTTGATCCTTTTCACTCAACGCCACTTTGTGAATAGTCACTTCTTTCCCATCCTCTTGAAAGATCACAGCGTTCACCTTCATTCCAGCAGCCTCGATTCGAGCTTGCTCTTCTGGAAGATTAGGTTTGTGATCCTCAGACAAGCCAATGACAGATTTCTCGTTTTCAGATGATTCGCCAGTCTTTTCGCCCTCTTGTTGCAATGGAGGAGCATCGGTGTCTTTGGAGCCGTCCAATGCCAACTTTTCCATCTTGGCCTCCAGGTTAGTTCCAGACGATTGAATCAGGATAGCACGGCTATCTCCTACATTTGCAACAATGATTTCGCTCTCGGTAGTCAAAGCGATGACTGCGGTCGATCCCCCAGGAATGCCTTCGTCTTTTAGATTGGCGTCTACAGTCAAGCAAGCCTTTTCAAACTTTTCTTGCCAAGTCGACTCCATGTCATCGATGTGCGGCTTTAATACCGTCACCAGGTTATCTGCCACAAATTGAGAGACACTGCCTCGATCACCGTGACCATCACAAACTGCCAACACGCAGTATGATTTTCCACTTTGTTTCCAGGTTTCACAACAAACAGCATCCTCCATTTGCACGCGCATTCCCGGCATATCAGCCATTCCGTAAGCGATTTGAAGTTCGGGACATTGTCCTCCCCGCTCTGTTTCGGACTTTGCATGACCGAAGACTGATAGATCGCCAGGCGAAAAGAGGGCCGACTCTAGTTCCTTTCTACGCTTCTTCGCAGTTGGGTTGGGAGATGTCACAGCGGTGCCAAATGGAGTGCGCCCCAGAATATCGACAGGAGGAGGAGACTTCATTCCGTTGGCTTGAATTAGTTTTGGTATAAGAAGATCAATCATATCTACGTTTCCTGTCTCAGCAGCGATATGTAGTGCCGTTCGGCCCTGTAAGTCGGTCTCCCATATACAGCCCTTTGGAGCCATCTCAAGTACGACAGCTCCAGCTATGCCATTACCAGCGTGAGCACAGGCCATGAGTGGAGTGTATCCATCTGGAACTAATTGTCCGAGGTGAGTGGAACGAGAGCTGAGGAGTTTTGGATTCTTCTTGAACGAATTTCGCAACCGCTTTGTGATTTTGTCACTGATTGGTTTCTGACAACCGCAAATCCTAAAGATTTTATCCCGTGCCTCCCGAATATGCGAAGGCGAAGTCATGCTTGCAGCTGTTTCTTTCGCAGCCGAGAGGACCAGCGCATTGATTTCCTCGTCAATTTTGTCTTTGGGGGTTTTATATTGCTTCTTTGGTGTGGTAAAAGAGTTCGCAGACGTCTGCTTTGGCGTTTCAGGAACCTTGCCTGGAGTTTCACCCTTGTTCTCAGACCCTGCTCCTTTTGAAATATCTGTCCACCGATGACAATGCATACAACGGATTTGATTTGGACTCCCTGGCAGCATTGCGAAGGCATCCTGTGGCGGCGCTTGCCTTTCTGAAAATTTGGGATCAGGCGCAACGATTTGCCAAAACGTAGCCCTGGCTTCTTCCTTCACTACTTGCTTTGCAGCGTTTTCATCTGGTGCTAGATATTGCCCAATCCCATCGCGATCAAACCATCGTGCTAGCATTTTGCATAACTCTTGAATGAATGCTTTACTGAAATGACACATTGAACATTGGTTGGCATAACGGAATCTGGAATCAAACTTTGACAAAATGTAGGACTTCTGCATTACACGAACAGAGTAGTGCTCTCTAATTTTATTTGCCGCCAACATCAAACAACATAATACCGACTTTCAACTTGTGAGCTTTCTTCTTTCCACAAGAAATCCGAGGATGGCGGATGAGCAATGCGACTTTGTTGAGCACTTCAAAACACCATTGAATGCTTGTAGCTTGGAAACATTGCCACCAGTTTCTTGGGGAGACGAGAAGAGGATCTGGCCGCTTATGATCGGTTGCTACGAACTGGACGAATCTACAGGAGAAAGAAATGGACGTTTAGACTTCTACGCCGCCCCGGTTCCGCAGGATGGAGAAACTTTTCAAGGAATTGGTAGTCCAAGGAATGTTATTGGGAGATCTAATCAGCTCTCGGGAGTGCTGGATGGGAAATGGTACAATCGTCATTTAGATGACGAATCACTACTATACGCCACAGCTCACGCATCAGGCGAGATCATTGTCCACAAAATCCAGGGTGAACAAATAACCTTGATTGGTAGAACTGATAGCAGAGACTCTGGTCTTTGCTTATCGTTATCTTGGGACTTGTATGGCGACAGTTCTGCTACCAAAAGTCGGATTATTTCGTCGTACAGTGATGGAAAAGTTGGTATTCATGATATCAATATCTCACATGACAAGATTGGGTTTGAGCAAACTCATTTCTTTGATGCGCATAAAATGTTCCGCTCCCCAGCCGAAGTTTGGTGTGCTAGCTTCACAAGTAATCCAAATGTGGCAATGACCGGTGGCGATGAAGGCAACCTGAAGATATGGGACTTACGGGCAGGTGTTTTGTCCCCAATGCAGACGTTGAAGGACTTTAGTGCTGGTGTTACAGTCATTTCGCCACACCCCCGAATCGATCATATTATAGCTTGTGGGAGTTACGATGAGACCGTTTGTATATACGATCTCCGAACTGTCACTGATTCCAAACCGAGCCCTCTGTGCCATTCTGATCCAGTCGGTGGAGGCTTGTGGAGAATGAAGTGGCATCCATACGACGACAGCAGACTTTTGCTGGGAGCGATGCATGGTGGTTGCCGAATTGTTCAACTTGATGACTTATCAAGTGAATCAGTTCAATTTGAAATCACACAAAAGTTTACAAATCACGAGAGTATGGCATACGGTGCCGACTGGATTGTAGATAAAACAGCACAAGTTGTGGTAGCAGCCAGTTGCTCCTTCTATGATCGTGCATTTTATGCGTGGAGAGTCAATGAGAAATGACAAAAATCAATAGTTAAATATCAATTCTTTCTTATTCTACAGCTCCTTTAAATTTCTAAGCGGTGCCCATCTCTCGGAGACAAGCTAGACATCCCCGTCTGATTCGACAGAATCCGTGCTCTTAACCGCTTCTGGGTCCTGTGCCCTAGCTCCATTCTTATTGTATTCACTTCCCATCAACAACCTCCGAGTTTTCTCGATGTCCGTGAGATGTGCATCATCTTCGGATTTTTCCGTCAACGCTGTCTCCATATCAACGTGCGTTTCCACCATGATATTTTCAGGTGGTTCTAGATATAATGCATTCTCTCCTTCCATTGGTTCATCCCCGTCTATATCCATTTCAAGTACATCCAAATTGTCATCCATGACACTCCTGTCTCTTGCCTCGCCGTCACCTTTAGGATCTGCTTCATCATCATCGGCAATCGATTTGAGCTCGTCGTCCTCATAATCCCAGCCCAGAGGATCTAGACCAGCCTTGGTGCTTAGAATCGCTTCTGTCTCGAGCATCTCTTCCTTGGCTTCTGTAATTATTCTCACGACCTCTTCTTCGTAGTCTTCCAGAGTCATTCGCTTTGGTTCCTCGTCCATCTCCTCGTCCTCCACAGAGGCAGCCACCTTTTTCTTGTCGGTTAGAAGCTGGATTTCGTCTCTGTCATCAGATTGCGCTTTGGCGTTCAGCTCTTTGATTGCTTCTTCAATAGCTGCAAGCTTCTCGTTGTATTCATCGTCACTTAGCTTCTGGGAAGTTGCACTCTGTAGCTCTTCTGCCACGACTGGAAAACTGTCTCCCTCTTCAACAATCTCTGGCATGTCTTCCAGTACTTCGTCTTGTGGCCCAAGCTCCGTTGTACTTTGCTCTTCCACCTCCAACGGCGAGAGTGAAGCTAGATAATTCGCAACTTCCAGGTTTCCGTTGGCTGTGGACTGACCAGATGCAACAATACCCACGTATTCGTCATCATCAATCTTTTTCAGGCTAAAAGGATTCCCACCAACAGTTGTAACTGTGTGCACAACTTTCTCTCCACCCATTCTCAGCTCCGCTTCTACATCAGAGACCACTTCGATTGGCGTCGGATCTTCAAGTGCAGTCGCATTCTCTGCAGCGGGTTGAGATTGTATTTCGGGATCATTTAACACTGATTCTTCAACTTCAGGCTCTTCTTCTTCACTCTCCGCTTCTGCCTCTTGCCGTAGTCTCTCCTCTTCTTCCCTTCGGCGCAACTCTTCTTTCTTTATTCGATCTTCTTCCATCTGAGCCAAGTCCTCTACTGTGTATCCACGAACTGGCAACAAACTGTCCATAAGTTCGCCCCTTTGCAACTGTTCCGCATTGAAAGGCATTTCTTCAAATCCAAATAACCATCTCACGGAGCCAGCATTGGTCTCGGCGATGAGAGTATCTACACACAATGGGTCTTCGCCCTTTCCATATGTTTCGTTGTCATATGGGTCCAAGAATTGCTTTGCCAGATCAAAGAGTCCTTGATACGAAATAGTCAATAGACCCGTCCCAGCGATGACAAGATACGGAGACATACCAGTGGAGAAGGCCATTAAAGGATAGGTCCAAAGAATGAGATCAACCAAAACTTGAACGATGTGTGCGTAAGCCAATGGCATTCGCCCTTGTAACTCGTCTCCAATGGCACCGTACTGAGCACGGATGATGTGGAACTTGTCCAGCGTATGCTGTTCAAATCCATCGCCCCCAAGAATATGGCCCGATGCCCGTCCTTCAATAAAAAGACGAATCATCCACATCAAGATGGCACTATGGCGTTGTGTCGGTGGAATATTTGCCTCTACCAGAGACTCTCTTTCTTGTGGAGTCAACAAGCCTCGTTCAACAAGCCGACGCATTCCGCGTGGGGTCAAGATCGGACGGTGAGATCTCGTGAAGGATGCATATGTAAGTAGGTTAAACATACGCACGTATCGACTCATAAGCTCCAATATCTGACGACTCTCGGGTGTGTAGGTTGACGGTTCGTTCTCGGTTTCAGGTTTTTGTCGACGGGCATGGGTTGCCATATTCATACCGATATCATGCAACCGACCCTGTAGACGCCTACTAAGCTGAGTGCATTTTTTCCATAAGGCATATGACTGATTGACAAAAAATGTAAGGGTGAAAGTTGTCACCGATAACAGCTGTCCCCACAAGGTGCTAAATCCAGTCAAGTGATTGTCGACAATGTTTGGATACGATTTGTAAAGGAGGAAGATTGCGATCGCATATAGTACGTTTCTCACACAGGAAACCCATGTTTCGGAGAAAATGGTACCCTTCCAACGTCTCCAGATCCATCCACTGGAAGGATCAAACTGTCTGATAATTGGGCGACGCGCACTTGTCCTGACACTCTCGTCAATTAGATCATCCAAAAGGTTCACTGTTGATGCTTGCTCGATGATATCAATGGGAGTCGTCAAAACCATATTCAGCGAAGATCTCCCCCTTCTGTTTTTCCTTGTCGATAGTCTAGTTCCTTCCCATCTTCCTCGGAGAAATGCATTTGACTGAAACGAAGAAAGTTGTAATGATCCCATCTGACGTCTATTGGGGGACAGTGCATGACAACAAAGATTTTGGCTAGCAAAGCACAGCAGGATGAGACCTAAAAGGTCCACATAGATTCGATTCCACGGTTGTTTCCATACTTGTCGCTCAAATCTACGTATTCTTCCCATGCCGGTTCAATATGAATTGTGGACATTGTGCAAGGTTTTGATAAACCCGGTAGTGTGTGGCAATCGTCTTGCAGACCAGGTGGACAGACTGAGTCTCAAAGTTCAACTCGTGATTGATAATTCGTGATTCATGGGATTTCTGAATCACGAAGAATGACATGCATAGAGACTGACTTCAATGATGTATCTACTCACTTGTGTCGTGCCCGCAATCATAAAAATTGCTATGCAAATTAACGTTGTCAAAATTAACGTTGTGCATTCCGTTTTCATTGTCATCTATCTCTGCTTTCATATTCGCGCTACAAGCTCCTTTAATCTGAAGCCATCTCAACATCTTGGTTCGATAGAACTCGCAATGAAATCGACAGCGGAAGAAAAGCAGCACCAAAAGCTGAAAGTTTTAGGTGTGTGTGGAGGTATTGGACAAGGAAAGAGCACTGCTTCTAAGCTACTGGTCTCTGATCTGGGCTGTATTGCTCACCTAGATGCCGATTCGATAGCACACTCTGTCTACAGTCCAGGCAGCCAGGCAGTGAAGGATGTGGTGTCAGAATTTGGATCTAGGATCCTCGCCGAAGGAACTAATGACACTATTGATAGAAAGGAGCTCGGAAAGATCGTCTTTGCTGAACGAAATGAAATGGCGCGGTTGGAAAAAATTGTGTGGCCACACGTCAAGACTCTGCTCAGTGAAAAAATTGAAGCTTTGAAACTGGACTGGGAGAAAGAAAAGAAAGACGATGCTACTGCGATTATTGTGCTCGAGGCTGCAATTTTGCTGGACGCGGGATGGGATGATCTTCTTGATGGTGTCTGGACAGTCCGTGCTCCAAAATCCACAGCAGTGAAGAGGCTTGTCGAGACACGGAATTTAGCAGAGGAGGAAGCAGAGAAGAGAATAAGCTACCAGAATTCATCAAGGGGCATAGGAAATATTGATGCAGAAATCAAGAGTGGCGGGATCACTGCTGTCATTGAGAACAATGGAACGCTGGAAGATCTGAAAGAATCATTGAAAAATGCCATCCATGACCCAAAGTCTTGGAAATAGCAAACTAATAATCTGCATTATAACCCCATATCTGCCACATCCTCCTTGACGCGCCACAGAGGATCATACTCCTCGTCCGATGAGGCATCATCCGCAACTTCTTCCTCTTCTTCTTCACCGATTTCTGCAATCTCTGGTAATGGGTATCGAAGAATAGCTGCTACTCCAGAAACCTGCTGCAGTTGTTGACCTGAAAGGTGCATCGAACTAAAGATAAAAACTTTTGCTGAACACCGCAATTAATTTTCGGAACGTAAAAACGACAAGTGAGAGCGCAAAAGAAATAGTTCCTCCTTATCTTCGTTACCGTTTGACTCACCACCTGCAGCTCGAGCTTCTTCCACAAGGGTGACATATTCCTTCCGTGCTTTGACGTTGGAACTGCGAAATAGCTGATCTGTCAGCAAGAGCGTATCAACCGCCAGCTGCTCTTGAGCCTTTGAAACATGGGCAAAGCCATAGTATGCCCTGTCGGGGTCTACTTCCATCATCCGCATAAATTTATTGAGAGCCTCAACTTCTCTTGCAACTTTTGTATCGTTCATTCTAGCCATGATTGCCGGGTCAGAGAAAACCTCATCAAGCGCGTGCTTGTGTCCATTAGAGGCTTTGCACAAAACAAACTTTGACTTGTTTTCGATGAATGGCCGGTCATCTCTTCGAACCATTTCTTCCTGCAGATACTTGAAAAAATCGTCTTTGACAAAACCTAGCACAGCAATAGCACCAGAAATAAATATCAGATACTGTTTTTCACATTGTCTTGTCTGTTGCTTCGAATGCTTACCTGGCGATCCCATCAGCACCACTTTTACTCTCGCAAAATCGATATGGCGAAGAATAGCCTGGTACACTGCCTCGAAAAACTTCTTTATAGATTTCGCATTTTGACTGGATCCAGTTCTTTTCTTCGGAATATTCACTTCGATTCTAGCTTTAGTGATCGTCAAAGCACCCGTTACGAGGCAGACATGAGCCAATCCAGAATGCAAGACTACGCCCGCGACTTCAGCCTGTCGTTCTGGGTTGCACGCTTCTTCTATCACGTCCAAGTAGATTTGATCCCAGCACTCTTTTTCCAAGCTGAAGTTCTGGTTGAGTTCGAGTGTAAGCGTGTGGTGGGCTCCCAAGCGAACAAAATCGTTTTCGCTCTGAACTTTCCCTGATATTCGTACTTCAAGAACATCTGGATCAAAGTCGACTTTCTTTACTTCAATAGTCAGCATCAATCGTTTTTTATTGGATGTGGTGGAACCGGTCGAGCTTTCCTTAACTACCTTTCGAACTGTTGTACAGCGAACACAGTCACCTTTCTGCAACAAATTGAATGCGTGCCACAGATCCTCAGGTGTATCTGGACGGAGAGTAATGGATCCGCCGCCATCTTTAGAGCTAATATTTCTTTTGACGAGCTTCATTTCTTGACTTCACAGGTACAACGATCGTTTGTCTTGTTTGCGCTTCAGTCAATGGTACCCCCAGCTACTGGAGAAAAGGAAGGGTGTTGTGACTGACACTGGAGGGAGGGGCGAATGTCAACAAGAATTAAAAGACAAGTGGTAGGTATTAGGTTTTCTTGTTCTTGTTTTCAATTTGACTATGACAAACAGAGAAATGGAGGAATCGTGGTGTGCAAGTACTCGTACGCAGAAAGAAGACAAGTCACATACCGGTATTGTACACGGTGGTGGCATCATAAAAAGGTAGAAACAACCACACAGAAAGCACTACAGTCGCATCTAGCGTATTAAACATAGCTTTCATCTTAGACCTCAGCACCACTCGTACCAGGCAATTCGTCACTATTGGTTTCGTCGTTTCTTAGCTCGTTGACACCTTGAAGTCGCTTGACTCGACAGGTTCTGCCACCTCCTCTTCTGCGTCTTCCATTTCAGTGTCTCCCGAAGTTTCTTCCAATTTTGTAGAATTGACTTCTTCCACCTTGATGCTATCGCTTACTTCAGCTTCAGCTTTCGACGACACGCTGGGCACAGGCTCTTCAGTCGCAGAGTCTTCTTTCATCTTGACGTCCGACGGAGTTGGTTTTTTCTTGATCTTGAATGGGTTCTGCCTGGCGTTATCGTCTTCCAAATCAATTTTTTCCAACATTTTCTTGTACTCGATTTTCGCTTCTTCCGTGAGCTTTCGACGTTTGGCTGTTTGAGACTTCACCATGGCAATCTCTTTCTCCAAGAGTTCAATTTGCTTCGCTAGTAACACCTCTCGGTCTTTGGCCTTTTTCTTCTTCGCAATCTTCTTTTCAATAGTTTCCCATGGCTTGACATTCGACACCTGATCACCACTCTCACTTGGCATCGGGATCTCCCCAGCAGCAGCGCGAAACCCAAGAGCCAACCCAACTATTCCGGAAGAGTCAATCATAGATCCCGGTATCGTCAAAACACCTTCGCCAATGCTTGCCCCAAGGCACAGCGTCTTGTACTCTCCCTTTTCCATTGTGCGTTTCAAATAGCCATTAACAATTGCAGTCGCCCGCTCTTGCTTTCCTGCGATCAGTTGCCGCCTTCCAGACGGAGACTTCTTTAAGTCGTCAGCGTCTGATAACCGCCTCTTCTTCACCTTGCTCTCGTTTGCCTTCAACGCCTTTTCTCTTTCCCGAGTGCGCTTCTTCCTTCTCTTTTCAAGATCTTTCTCTTGTTTCTTTATATCTTTCATTTTTGTAACTTCATCGGTTTTTTGCTTTGTCTTTTGTTTCTTCTCTGTATCCACCTTTTGTTTCTTTGTATCCTGTGACTTCTTTTTCGCTTTCTTTCGTCCAAAGGTTGCGAAATTGATCAAGCCATCAGTTGCCAATAGCTCATTCTTTTCTTCTACATCACTTTCGCCATCTGAATCGACATCATCTGCTTCATCGTCCGACTGACTTAGTAGTGAATAGCTGTAGTTCATGTCCTCGCCTTCTTCACCTTCCGCCGGGTCTTCTTTTGTAAGATCTTCAAATTGAAGATCAAATTCTTCCATGGCCCATTTTCCCTCTTCAATAGCGGAAGTGTATGTTTGCGAGCCCAGGACTTTATCAAAAGCATTTCGAGTCGACTTCTTCTTCTTGGACCCGGATGCAGGTTGTTGATCGTTCGGATCTTCTGTCGGATCAAAGTTTTCAACAATATCAGATTCTCTCACCCAAATGAACTCATGAGTTCCCATAAATTCCACCAAGAAAAAGGATTGCGGGTCACCGTGCCCTTGAGCCTGCCTTTTGATGGCTTGCTCGGACTTTCGCTTTCCTGCGACCAACTGACTTCTTAGTTTTTCAGGAAGCCGCTTCTCATTCCTTTCAGTGAGTGCAAAATGCCAGTCTTCCTTTTGATCGGGAGGTGCAAGTATACCAAGGACTAGCGCAGGCCAAAATGGCTTCTTGCTGGACTCTCTTGCCCACACAGCAGCCGCCATACATCCCCAGATGCTAGATTGACTAACCCCTCTGCAAGTCGCTTCGTGAATCGGAACGATAATCTTTCCAATGAAACGATCCAAGCGATTGGACACCATGGTATGCAGTTCTGTATTGTCTTTCAAACAGTTTGCGTAGCATTGACGTACATCCTTATCCAATTCATCTACTCCATATCCTTGATCTTCCTTTTCGGCAGAAGAAAGTCGCTTCTTCATTTCGACCATATTCTCCACCACAGCCTCCATTTCCTTCTTGTCTTCGTTTGGACTTCCTTCTCCCCAGATTCGCTCCGTATCCAGTCGATCTACACAACCACCATTCTCAATAAACGCGCTGAGAGCCTCGGCAGACCGTGACAAACTTTTCCCCGTCATGAGTGATAGTCCCGAAACAATCAGTCGTTGCTTCCTATCGGCTTTTCGCTTTTGCATTGCCTCTAGAATATGGGTAGAGGAGGACGACTTGGATGATTTGCTCGGAACAGGAGGTGGATCTGATGGCATCATAAATTCTTGCCAAAGATCGTTAAAATAATCTCTGAGGTGCAAGGCGATAGAAACAAAGGACGGAACCGCATCCTTGTTGCTCGAGTGCGAGTGGTAGCGTACACAGTTGGAAAATATTCGCCAGGCATCCAATCGAACATCTCGTAAGCAAGTGTAGTCCTTGCGTCGAATCTTTCGGCACACTTTTCCAAGATCCATTGGGTGCTGCACAATTTTGGAATATACGGCCACCAACTGTATTGCATTGAAAAAAACAAATGAGCAGCGAACGATGTGTTTACTATCTTGTGAAATCATCAAGGTTTTCAACTTTTCGTCTTACCTCAGGGTGGAGCAAAGAGACGGGGCGGCTAAATTCTGCCAACAATGGTACCCGGCAAAACTGTATCATCATTGATTTCAAGTTTTCATACTCAGCAGCCGTGATAGGTTGCACTGGATCGTCCATGGTCGGAAAGCTCTTTTGCGATTTGCCGGTCTTTTTCGGTGCCGAAGACCGTTTTCGTTTTTTGGTTGTAATAGGACTCTTCTCCTCCACCACGACTGCCTTTTCTACTTTTTCCTTCTCCTTGTCATCATCATCGTCGTCGTCATCTTCATCGGCAGCAACTGCCACAGCATCGGCGGGTTCATCAGTTTCTTCATCCACTGGCTTGGCTGTGACTGCAGCTTCTTCTTTGGCTTCCACTTCAGTTTTAAGTTCTTCCATTTTCTCTTGTACGCGTGAGCTGGAAGACAATTGTGCAGCAACTGCCGCTGGCTTTCCTCTTGCTGGTGGCGCAGCCGGCTGTGCTTCCTTCGGATCCGCATCAGAAGATTCCGTGCTGGTGGAGGGAGCTTGATAGGCGAGCGGTCGAGCGGTATTGCCAGCAGCTGCGGCGGTAGCAACCGCAGCTACGGGATGACCTTGCAAGGATTGCATTGCTGCTAGTTGTGCGGGGTCATATCCAAAAGGAGGAGCTCCAAAAGCGACGGGTCGCGCATTGGCGGCCGCAGTTTGCTGTGCTAGTGCTAATTCAATGGAAAGGCGACGCGCTGCCTCTGCATCAGGATGGTTAGCCGCATTGTTCCACATGATTTGTTGTTGGGCAAATGTCAATCTATTTCACTAATACGGCGCACAATGTTGGCTATTATGTGCTTTCTCAATGGTGGTAATCAAATCAAATCACAAACAGGAGGATGAAGGTAACGTGGATTTCCTCAATAGTCAAGAGTTTATTGATTGAGGATTGTAGGAAGGGTTTGATAGCATGTGAATATGCGTTATATTTTTTAGATGCTACGTCCGTTAGCCGATTCATTCATCTCTCGATCCCGGCTTGATGTCTACTTACTGCAACGAGACACAGAGTCCTTTTACAAAATCTTGGATGACGAACAACTTCGCGAGGACCAACTCCCAACCAACAAAGGCGCTCCATTTACCTACGTAGGACATGGTACTAATCCACGGCATGTGCGCAGGCCGCATTCAGCAGCTCATGAAGGATAGCAAGCTCAAAACCTATTGCTTTGGAGAATTGGAGATTAGAAGTAGTTGATGGGTGCCTGGTACCTGCTACATTATTGCCGGTACCGTTCCCTGCACTCGCAATCTAAGGCAATCTTTTTTAGTTGAATGCTACTCCTTTCATCTACTTCATCTTCGGCGACCTCGACCTCCGCGGCCTCGCCCACGTCCACCCCTACCTCTTCCTCGACCTCTTCCAGTGGCATTGGTCCGCTCAGATCCATGGAATACTCGCGATGAGCTTTGCATAACTGGGTCGGTAGGGAAGAAACAAGTATACTTGGATTCTTTGCTTTCCAGCGGTGACTCGCCAGCCTTGAATTCAATCTTCATCTTGTGGCACCCCAAAACTTCATCTTTTTCATCGAGAATGGTCACCTTGTCAATACACTTTGGAAGATGGATAATGGTGGCATCCCGAGTCGACACTAATCGCCATTTCGGGCCAAAATGTGGGTCCAGTATAAAGACTCCATCACTGTCTGGGTCTGGACTAACATAGAGCTCTTCAATCAATGGGTGGTTGTCTGGCAGTGGGCATTCCAAAGTCAAGGCTTTTCCAGCCATGCGCTTGATTTGCTGTTCTTTTGCCTGATCTTCCCTGTCAACTGGATCCTCCTCAGGCTCCCGAAGTGACCATTCTGAACTGTTGAAACAGTTGGGACACAGTGGGAATGCACGTGGTGGAGCACCAACCGAATACATGCTCAATTCAAAGCCGCATCCTTCCACAGGACATTGGCGTCCCGACCACTGCTTGACGATACCACCAGCTGGTAGTGGATAAACCGTTTCTGTATGTCTGTTGTATAGACGAGGTGGTGGTCCTTCAATGAATTGCAAGTACCGTCTACAGCATGATTGAGTATAAGCATGTGGGCTCAGCATCGATACCAACACTCCGGCACTGGAGTTGTGGCTTACCTTGATTGTCCACACCGAGTAAACGCCTTTCCGACGTCTTCCAACTTGGAAAAGGAGGAACCAAACAAGACATCCATCCGGTTGATGTTTTTGACGAAGAAATCAAACTTGGCTTCAAACATCGATATTGCCTTTTCAACGACATCGTCTTTACTCATTTCACCTTTGGAAATCCGATTGCACTGGCCTTCAATGTCTGATCTAACCTTTGGAAGCACAAGGCCACTGTCAATCCGATGATAGCCTTGTACCAGAACTAGACCAAGCTTGTTGGGAAGCAGTCGCCTGCCACTCTCTAGTCGAACGTAATTTCTATTTTGGATATTCTGAATGTGAGTTGGAATACTTGCGTCAGTTCCGATTCCATATTTCTCCATCATCCCAATCAGTTCAGATTCCGTGAGGTATCCAGGCGGCGTCGTCTGCTTCTCCTTGACATCCAATGATGCCCAGACAGGAGCGGCGGTACTCATTTGAATTTTCGACGAGTTGGAACCTGTATTGGTCTTTAACAGTGGAATGACCTCGCCCTTTCTGAATTCAGGCATCGTGCGCTCCTCTTCATCATCTTCGTCGTTTTCGACTTCGTCACCATACTGTTTGTGGAGAAGGACTTCCAAGAAACCTTTCGAGACGATCTACAGTAGAGAAGGCTCGCCAGTGAGAAGAAGGAAATCGGTACTCTACGAAACAAATCTGCAAACATACCTCTTTTCCAGAAAGAAAGAAGTTACCCTTTGGACCCAAGGACTCAATCTCAAATGTAACCTTGGTAGAACGCCACACGGCATCATGGCTCACAGAGGCAATGAAATGTCTCACAACAAGTTCATAAATGCGAGCCATATCCCCAGACAGTTCATGGAAACCGGCTGATCGGCAGGGAGTTATAGGTGGATGATCCCCCATGTCGACGCCACCTCTTGATGTGTTATGCCCTTTAAGAGCTAAAAGCTCCTTTACGTAGGTTCCCCAGCGAGCATCCCCAGCTTGCTGTTGGAGCGTCCCTCTAATGTCGAATGATTTCGGGTATGCAGTCGACTCTGTTCGCGGGTAACTCAGGTAACCACTAAGATACAAACGTTCTGCAGCTTGCATAGCAGAATGTGGGCCTATACCAAGCGCCTTACTGCAGGCCTTTAGCAAGTTGACTGTATTAAGCGGTATTGGACGCCCTTGTTTCTTGTCTCTGGTAATAACACTTGTCACCATGACGTTGGGATTATCTTCAAAGGCTTTTGCAACAAGGTCGATTGTTTTGTTCTTATTGAACGAACGTCCCGATTCCCACGTCGCTCTGAGCATCCGACCTCTTTTCAGAACACCAAGCTCTAGCGTCCAGTCTAAAGATAAGCAGTGTCATTCCCAAATTAGGAACGTTGTCTAGTGAGCATGCAGCAATGGCAAAGGCTGAGAGGTCCACGAAATCCAAAGAACTTACAAGGTTCTGGCTTGAATGTCTCAATGTCGATATGTCTTTGAACACAGAATCCTAGTGTGGGAGTTTGACAAGGCCCGTATGACAAGACACTGCTATCCAAATCACCATATCTTCCCTGAAAAAACCGAGTTTGGAATCTCGAAAAAGCAACACCGACCTTTAGATCCAATTCCTGGCGAGCATCGACGGAAAGTGCCTGGTTTTTATCTGGCTTTCCAAGATTGTTGTAGGCTTTGATAATGTCAGAGGGGTTGATCGCCGAGAAATACGCCCGGTAGACGCGGTCATAATTGGCGACACCAGCCCCACCTTTCATTAGGTGCATACAACAATCCAAAACTTCAAAATTGATATTCTCTCCTTCGCGATCGCAATCCATCCACAAGACGATGAAATTTGCTCCTCGTGCTTCATCCTGTAGGTGCTTTACAACCGAACCCTTACAGGGCTTGCGGGCAATGGGAGCCGTGAAGAGCTCAGCTGGATCTACAGACTCCCACGACTGGTATTGTTGCGGAAAATCCACAGAAAACACATGTCCAGCAACACTGCTAACCTTGTGCGTGACTTTCTTGGCGTGAGGAGCCTTGGGGAAAGCTGGATTCGTGAATTCATGCACAGGAAGTATTTTTTTTCGGAATATCATATCTCCATTGCAAAGCCCTTTTGCAATCGCTTGTGCGATCGATGGTTTCTCGCCAACGTGGAAAATAGTGATATGTTCGCCTCTTGCGTAGTTGAGGTCGTTGGTTTGCTGACATTGGTTCGGAGGGATGGATGGTTTCTGAGGCGTAGCTGCCGTGCTGGCGGAGGTCTGATTCCCTCCTTTTGAATTGTTGTTCCTGGCCTTGGATTCTTTCTTCGAATTGTCATTGCTGTTGCTATTGTTTTTGCCCTTCTTTCGAGACTGTTGGTCATTTGTGTTTTTCTTCTTTTCGTTCGGTTCATTTTTGCTTTTCTTCGTGTTGCTTGGGTTATCCTTCGATTCTTTCGGTTCATTGCCGTTTTTCTTATCGTTCTTTGCATTTTCCTTTCCTCCTTTCTTCTGATTGACCCCCTTCGGATCGTTGTCCTTGCTGTTGTTCGCAGCTCCCTTGCTGCCCTGCTTTCCTTTGGCTTTGTTGTTGTTCTTGTTCTTGGAGTTTTGCTTTTGGGTATTTCCTTTGCTATTTGTATTTTTGCTTTGTTCGCTGGAAGAAGAAGGACCTGAAGTTCCTACCCCTGGTTTGAACTCTGGAGCGTTTGCTTTCAGGTCAGATGGCTCAGCATTTGTATCATTTGTATCATATGAGCTTTTTGCCTTGTTGTTTCCTCGACCGCCTCTTCCATTTCTACCACCACGGCCACCGCGACCACCACGCCCTCCACGTCCTCCCCTTCCGCTTCTTCCACCTCTACCGCCGCGGCCAACTTTTTCACCGCGGCCCAGGTTGGATTCCGTCGTCATGAATAAATTTGTGATCGTTGGAGTTTGTTTTACCTTCAATTTGTGACTTGTTCTCGTCGCAATCAAGATCCATGGTTTGGTTTTGCGATTTACTCGACGATGATTTAGGGACGATAATTTCATATTGGGATTCCAAATTCCAAAGAATAGAAAGTCTGTCCGTTCTTCTGCAGATGCAAGATGAACAGGCTCGAAAAAATTGTGATTGATCGAACAAGTCGACGAGATCTCGTTTTTCGAATGATCATCGTTTGATCCATCTCCAGTGCACATTGCAACGAACGTTGCCATCCAATACCACAGGAACTCTTGCGGAGACGATAGAAATATAATCCTGAATCATGTCAAACATTGCTTCCTCGGGAAAAGCTGCTGGCGGAGAGCTGGAAGAAAAAATTGACTTGACGCCCGAGACGGACGCCAAGTTGGAGCAATCGGCAACTCTGGCCAAATCGGGACAGGTTCGAGAAGCTCTGGCCATTCTCGCTGCTTTGGAGAAGAGATGTCGTGTGGGTAATGACAGTCCAAACTTGGTTCGAGTCTGTGAAGCTTCCTTGCAGTACTGTAAGGACGCTGGGGATGAAGAGCTTTTGTTTTCGACAATTCAAACCTTGACAACTCGACGATCTCAAAAGACAAACGCTATTCGAGCGATGGTTCACAAGGCAATGCCTTGGTGTGTTGTCGATCAATACACTCCAATTGCTGTAACTTCAGAGGGAGAGAAAGCAGCGAGAACTAAGCTTGTGGAAACGCTGAGGGAAATTACTGATGGGAAACTTTTCTTGGAAGGAGAACTTGCAAGGTTGACCAGAGCTCTGGCTATCATCAAGGTAAGCATGCTAATGCCCTACGCTTTTATTTCCTTTGTAACTTCAAAGTTCCCTAACGCAAAATCAAAACTATTTTGTAGGAAAATGAGGGTGATATCGCTGGTGCCGCAGATGTTTTGCAAGAAGTGCATGTGGAGACATATGGATCCTTGTCAAAGCGGGAGAAAGTGGAATTCATTCTCGAACAAATGCGGTTGACTTTGGGAAAGAAAGATTTTGTTCGAGCAGCTATTGTCGCCGGAAAGGTATCTCGTAAGCATTTGCAAGAAGAAAACATGGAAGAGCACAAAGTCAAGTACTACACTCTTTTGGCTGAAAACCACCGACATGACAAAGATGCTTTTGCATTGGCAAAGGATTATCATGCTATTTACTCGACACCTCATATATTGAGCGATGAAGCTAAGTGGAAGGAGGCGCTGAAGAGCACTGTTGTTTTTCTTGCTCTAAGCCCATATGGTAGCGAACAGCAGGACATGCTTCACAGAGTAAACAAGGATGGAAACTTGGAGAGTCTCCCAGCATACCGCACCACTGTCCAACTTTTGCTGAAAAACGAAATTATTGCATACCCAATGGCAAACCAACAAGAATTGGAATCTTTGCCATCGTTTTGTGAAGGTGGGGAAGACTTGACACAATTCTGGCATGAATCGTTCCATCGAAGAATTATTCAGCACAACGTCCGGATTGCTTCCTTCTACTACAAGCGCATCCATGGAGCACGATTGGCACAATTGTTGGGATTGGACAAAAATCGATTGGAGAAGGAAATCTCGATCATGGTGAGTGATGGGGTGGTCTATGCGAAGATCGATCGTCCAAAGGACATCATTCGTTTTGCCGCACCGAAGAGTGCAGAGGTTGTTCTATCCGACTGGGCCACAGACATAGATAAGCTCCTGCACTTGGTGGAAACCACTACGCATTTGATCAACAAGGAGAAAATGACACAGTAAATGTTCTAATTACTTTATGCCAGCTTCTATATCTGTGTGAGTTTGCCATTATTTTCGGATTTTCAATCGAGTAGTTCCACTATAGGAGATCTCAAGTCTCGACTTGTCGCAAGCGAGTTCCAATGCTCTCCGTGCCGTGCGAGTATGCTACTCTGCGACGGATATCGACAAATGTCCGGACTGGCATCTCCGACCACCATCAGTTTGGCCCAAAATGAAAACACCTGTGTTATCCGCTCCGATGGGGCAGGTGAAGCTACTGCTTCAGATTGCGACTCCGAGGACGCAACTTCCTTCGAACAGTACCATAATACAGTCTCATTCGAAAAACGTTTCGCGATTATGCATCTCAGTAGCTGTCCCGGTTGTGCTACTTCATTTTCGAAATGAGTTGACGGTCCCATTCCGATTGGCGCTCTCCCTTGGCCTATTGGTGCTGCAAACCCGACTGCTGCTGCCTCTCCTTCAGGGTTTCGAACAACCTGAGCTTCTCCTATTCGTCCAAGAGGTGCTTCCTCAGGAGATTGATGGTTCAATGCATCTCTGCCGCCACCATGGATGCGATGTTCTGGGAAGCGGGGTTTGGTGCTATAATATGAGTACACGTTAGAAAAGAATTCGAAGGGAAAATACAGTATGACAAAAGAAGAAGACATATTCGAGTACTTACAAGACGAAACCATTTCCATTACATCCAGTACAGAAGTAGATCCCGTTGTATTCTGGATCCCCAGCATCGGTCACAAGCATTCTTCTACTCAACAAAAGAATCGGTACCCGAACATGGTTTTCTTCAATGCCACTTTCCACACCTTCAATTTGTTCTTTTGCTCGCAATAGTTGCATGACGTTTTGGAGTTTTCGAGTGCTCATCAAGTCACAAGTTCGCTGTGTTGCGCTTTCATAGGCAAGTTGTCGAAACCGAGAACATGCGAAAGCCATCCTTATAAGTGACTTGCATTCAAGGAACTCAAAGATCCGTAATATCACATCGTCAGCAGTCAGATATTGCAGGAAGTTATTCGATATTGACCAATACGATGGTGCAAACTCGGAAGAATTTCGATTCGACGATATGACCCGTCGATGTGCCTGCCCCAATCGTTCGAATGCCCGCAAGAAATCGCTATATTCTTGAGTTTCCCTTAAAACACTAACATCATCTCGGGGTATCGATGACAACCAAGTTCCACATCGTTCTAGCTGATCGGCGTGAGAATTTACAGCAAAATTCGAATCTCGAAGGCTTTCATTAGGGCGTGGATGAGAACCATGGCTATTTGTCAAGACTTCGGCACGGAAATCCATTGCAAAAGATGAAGAGGCATAGATGAAAAATGGTTTATGTTGCATTTGCTACAAGAGTTGACTTATTTGACTAAAAATCTGCCCAAAATTTTCTCATCCGTTTTGGTTGAAGTTTGAATCATCTTTCACTTCATCTTCACTTGAGAATGTGTCCCATCCATAATCCACCAAATCATCAGGATGGTAACCTTTCAGAAGATCTGGCTTGTAAGTTGATTTCTTCTTCTTATTGAGAAATTTGTCCATATTGTCAGGGGTGCGGATGTCATCTGGAATGTTGAACGAATCTTCAGCAATGATGGAATCTTCAAATTGTTCGTTTCCCCAGTCGTAAAAATGGATTGGCATATCTAGGACCGTCTCGACCATCTGTGACTGCCATCCAGGCATCTCGTATCCACATGTAAATATTCTCACTCTTTTCCCTCTCAAAGCATTCTCAAGAAGTGGCTGGATCGCCTCAAGTCCCTCTCTAGCAAAGTACATCGTCAATATAGTTGCCCTCTCGATCTCTTTCCAAACTGGATTTGTCACATCCATCAGATCGGCAACGATAAATTTGATATTAGGTTTTGGATGAATCTTGTCGAGTCGATCTCTCGCAACCTGCACAATTTTTTCATCAATTTCTATTCCAATTGATTCAGCTACTCCAGCGTCGATAGAAAAATAGTTGACTCGTCCATCTCCGGAACCGAGCTCCACATGCACCTGAAAGAAAGTTTTAGCAAATGTTCACCACCGACGAACTCAATCTCTTTTTTTGTTGTTGCTTACATCATCTTCTCGGACATCCGCACGGTCAAAAATTTTGCGAGCCACACTATCGGGAACCGGTGTCCAAGGACTAAGTGTTGCAATCTCAGTGTACTCTTCAAGATTCTCTCCAGAATATTGAAACGGATTTTCCAAACCACTGCTTTGTCCGGGAAGCTCTGAGCCCAATTTGATACTTGTGTATTTTTCGTACTTCTTTCTTTTTCGCCGCATTGTGCTTGACATGTGACGTGCGAGGGAAGATGTGGGGGATTGCGGTCCTGTTCTTGTTCCACTGACGCGACCAATGCATGTCGATAGTCTGTTGTGACGACTGAGCAACAGTGAACGCTGACATTGATTCATGGCGTGCAAACAATTTCCGTACAAAGGTGAAGATGAGAACCAATGTTACTACTGTAGTACGACAGTCGTCCTTGCAAATGAAACTGGAGAGCAAACAGAAACTTTGATACGGTACGAAGTGATTTACGATACTTCAGGTTTGATGTGATGACGTCGCGCGATATTGAATGCGCAGAGCCCCTGGCCTGGTCCCAGAAGAGTATTGCACCGGCACGATACAGTACCTGGTACCGGTAGGTACGACCGTACTCGAAATAGATTATTGCAGGTAGGTACTCGTAGATGCCAAAACGATCGACGCAAAAAGAAGCTCCAGACTCTTTCTCCTGCCACCTGTTTCAGAGAGAATGATTGAAAATTGTTCATGAGAATTGCACGCTGAAGGGACCAGATAGTTGTCTGCTACTGCTACATGATCATGGTTGTTGTTGAAATTAAGAACGCAGACGAACTCTAGTTAGAAGGGCCAAAGGCTGAAACCACCACCACTAGCGGAGGGAGAAATGTTCCCGTTGCAATAGATTTCGACTTCCACAAAGCGATGAGAACCCCGAGGCCATCCATTGACGTCTTCGTATGCGCTACAAAAAGCTGAACTCCCAGTCTTCAAACTTCCAGCATTGATGCTTGTATCCTCCATATCAGGCCCAGCGAATCCTCCCATTACGGCAGCTTTCGGAGGCCCTACTATCAAATCCGAGGAGCCAAACTGTGGACCCTGTCAACGAAACACCGACAACAAGTGAGGATGTTTCTCTTCCACATAATCACGCACTGGCTCACTCCTTCCAGAATACTTACCCCAGTGGCAAAGTCGAACACAGCGGCATTTCCTGAAATTCGGTGCCAAGTGAAGTGTCAGACAACACAACACCAGAACAAGGGACTACAAAGACAAGACTGACCTCCTGGCAGCACGGGACACTTGACCCCTTTCCCGCCTTGCTCGAACCAAAGAAATGCTGCATTCGATGCGCAGTAATCGTCAGTACTTTGCCACCCTACTGGGTTGTAGCCACCAAACTTCTTGCCGCTGTTTGTCAAAACAACCACGAGTCCAGATCCACGACCATCGCAAGTATTGTGAAAGTCGAGTGCTGACCACCCATCTCTGGATGCTTTGTAGATACACCGGAGATCTACACTAGACTTCTGAGGATCGATGTTTGTGTTTTCTAGTATATTCATCGGAGGATTCAACGAAGATGGAGCCTGTCCAGTAACTCCAGAAAAGAAGTTCCCAATCATATTCAATCCAATATTCTGATTCATTCTCCTTCTCGATTCTCCTGATAGAAGTGCATCACAGTTTATGACCAGGTGGAGAATCAGCATCGATCTTATCATTCTTGGAATGTTTGTTTCACAACACGACATGACACCTCCCTCCTGAGCAGTACGATAACTTCGTATCTTTTCAAATAAAATAAAGAATATGTCGCAATGATAATCGTTTTAGGTGTTGGGGGAGAGGATCCCCCAGTAACATCCCCCATAGGAGGTTCGTAGCGACCACAATTGATCGGCACAGACGGGAGACGTATGGGCGTTTCAATAGTGTCAACAAGGGTACGTACCCCTGGCCCATCACGTAAAAATGTCAGTACGCGCCAGCCGAATACTTCTTCGATCGCCAGCCAGTATGTGTCACGGAGGCAACCAGATCATGAAACCGAACCGCCCGCGCGAAGCGGGCGTTACGGATGAAGAAATTCTTTCAACTATAATTCGCGGTTAATTAACCGCGAGTTGAAAAATTCGCGGTAAATTTAACAGCGAATTCAAAAATCGCGGTAAATTTAACAGCGAATTTTTCAATCCGCGGTTATTTAGTAGCGAATTTTTCAATTCGCGGTTAATTCAACCGCGAATTGCGTGATGTAGAATCACTCTCATTTCTTCCTCCATACAACGATACCATGCAATAGAATGGTTTGTTCCTCAATCACAGGGTTTCTTCCTATGTTTGGATTGGGAAAGTTGTCCTCTTGAGAGCCTCTAGAGAGAGGAAAATCAGCTGTTCCAATAGTGAAAATGCAAGTGTAGTAAATAGTCTTCTATAGCATCATTACTACGTTATAGATCTATGATTCTTCCCCTTGACTTTGAGAGCGTGCAAGTACTTCCCTGTTCTAATCTCCTGGTAGTTGCATTCCCTGAAAACATTCAAAGAAAACTCCTTGCAATACTGTTTTCGTTAAGAACGGCATAGATCTTGATATCTTACAGGAGCTTATCTTTTCCATTCTCGTCCATGGCTTGACGCAGAAGCTTCTGGGCATCCGATCATTGTCAATGGATATTTTGTAGTAGCTTTGAAAGGATGTTACTGGATGGTTGTCGACGAACTGTTTGACATGAGCCTAGTGGTCCTCGACGACTCTGCTGATCTTCTGGTTTTCTTGCTTCTGCAGCGCTGTCAGTCTATCAGCAAAATATTCAGAACCACATTGTTCGACTTCCTATTTTTCTCGCCGCTCATGTCACACACCTTTTGTAGTCAACTTTTCCCCATCGAGTGGGATGGGGGACAACAGGAGCGGTTGCAAGAGATCCCATAGAATGTCTTTTGCCCTGCTGATTTTTCGTCCCATCTTATGCTCCAAGATATTGTTCGCCTTTTGTAACTTCTGAGCCTGGTAGCAAGCTTCTTGGGATCCCACTTTTCCGATCTCCCTTCGTACCTGGTAGACTCCTCGCCCATTTCGCAAATCACTTTCAAGATGACTTTTAGAATCATGTTGTTCCCTTCATCATCTACTTGTTTCCTTCATCACCTAAGGCTTCTCTATCGCGCGACAGATCCCCAGTAGTTCCTGGATGATTTGTTTCGCCCTGCTGGTCTTCCAGGGCGTCTCAGGCTCCACAAACACCATTGATGGATTTGTTTGGTTTTGTTGCTGAATTTTTAGAATATATCAATTCGCGGTTAACGCAACGGCGCTTTTTCAATTCGCGGTTATCACAACGGCGAATGGAGGCATTCGCGGTTAAATAGCCGCGAATTTCTCAATTCGCGGTTAAATAGCAGCGAATTTTTCAATTCGCGGTTAAATGTTGGAGTGTTCGCGGATAGACCGATCATTGCGGGTGGCACCACCATGTGTCCAACACGACCCGTTCGATTTGAAGGAGGCTTGACCAGCTCGCAAAGGAATGTCCTGGCAGGCGCGCCACTACGTTTTTTACGTGACGGGCCTGTACAGCACCGGATGTACAGTAATGTACTGGTGCCGGTTTGGTACCAGGTACTGTACATCTCGTTTCGTATCGTTCAGGTTCTGATGATGATTGATTCTTCGACTCACAACAGTATCACCTCATCCTTGTCGGTCAGCACACAAGATGGGAGCTTGCCTTACAACATCTGCCGATTCTGGGGAGGACTTTGGCAACAAGAATTTCTATGATTTCTCTGCTACCCGCAGCGATGGGTCCACCCAGCCGATGGGAGAATTCAAGGGAAAAGTAGTGTATGCAACCAATGTTGCCTCTCACTGAGGACAAACCGCCCGCGAGTATGCACAAATGAAGAAACTCGGTGAGCGGTGGGGCAATGATTTAGTCATCTTGGCCTTTCCAAGTCGTGAATTCGGAAAGCAGGAATTTGAAAAGGATGAAGATATCCAGAAGTTTGTTGCGGAAAAGGGGTTCCCTGGTGTTCTTTTGAAGCTGGGAAAGGTGAAGGGGTCAGAAGCGTCTGAGGTCTGGCGATACATGAAGGGTGTGACAGGTGCAAAAAATCCAATCTGGAACTTCAGGGCCAAGTATCTTGTCTCTAGAGATGGAAATGTCTCCACTCCGAAGGGGAAATTAGAAGACGCAATTGCAGCATTGATGTAATTTTTCCTGGAGTACAAGTACATTTGATTCGCGATAATGACGGAGTACCATCTTCTGAAAACGAACCAGCGAAAATCGATGGAAATGCTCTGTAGTAGACCCAGATGCTACAGTACAATACAGTCGTGACTATATTTTTCACAATCAGACTTTACCGGTACAGTTAGTTATTCTAGCGATTGCTGTTTCGTACTGTATTTTTATTTTTTCTTTGTCTTGTACTGTACTTAGTCAAACGAGTCAAAACACTGCGGTGCGTTACGCATTGTAAGCAAACGACTTGGACAATGCCTCCTGCTTTTTGCGACAATGATGACAGAGTCACTGGTTGCCAATGAGACCAGAATTCGCGACTTGGATGGCTTTTGTGGTACAGTTGTATACATAGGACCAGTAGCAAGCGCCAAAAATCCGGAAGAGATTTACGCCGGAATCAAGTGGGATGATAAATCGAGAGGAAAACATGATGGGAGCGTGATTTGCCGACGAACAAACGAATTAGTTCGTCATTTCTCATGTGGTCCTACTCAGGGGTCATTCTTGCGTCTGAATAAAATGGACCGAGGCGTGGCCTTGACAGCATCACTGTTAAAGACCAAATATGTTGACATGAATGCACCTGTCATTGCCCCAAATAATGTTTTGCCTCACACTGCAAGGACATCGAGTGGCCGACCAAAACCCATTGAATTTCTTGGAGAAATGAAAATTCGTGAACGCCAACAACTTGCCGACATTGACACCATATCACTGCGCAGAGAAGGCATTTCACGGGCATCAGATGACAAAATGCCGGAGGACTTCAGAAAAATCAAAGACATAGACCTTGCTGGAAATTTGCTATCCAGCTGGACCGAGATCCTAAAGATCATGAGACAATTTCCAAGGCTAGAGATCTTCAATGTTGCATATAATCGTGTTCGAGATATTGGTCTACCTGTGGAGCAGTTTGATCGGATGAAAGTTCTCAATCTCAACAATTGCTCCCTTGGAACTAAGACGCTTCAGTGGATCGGAGATTCTATGCCGTGCCTAGAGAAACTATGCATTGCAAATTCGAATCTCTCAGATTTACAGTCTATTCATGTTTGTGGTTTGGGACATCTTGAAAGTCTTGATTGCTCTAACTGTCAGCTAGACTCATGGGAAAACCAAGTTGACCACTTCTCAGCTCTGCCATGTCTAGAGCAACTGAGTCTGGATGATAATCCACTATCCACCCTTCCCTCCACTCCTAAGAGCGAGGTGTATTTCCCATGTTTGAACTCACTCCAGCTTGCTGGGACACAGTTCAAGACTTGGATCGACCTGGAGGGGATCAACGCCCTCTTTGCCTCCATCAAATCTCTGAGACTCAGGCATACACCCTTGACGTCACCAATGGGACAAGGTGAAACGCGTTTCCTTGCCGTTGCCCGATTCCCATCTTTAGATTATTTCAATGCTTCAGTAATATCAATGAGCGAACAACAAGAAGCGGAGCGCCGGTATGTGTCGCTCGTATCCAACATGTTATTAAAGCTTGAAGAAAAAGACGATCAGGAAAAACTCTTGGCAGAGCACCCTCGATATCCCAAACTGAGTGAAGAATACAAAAATCTAGTAGTTACGAGCTCAGGAGGGGCAAACGGAGCTGGGACGAACATAGCTGCATCAGTTTGTAATGTTACAATACGGTCCATGTCGCCATCAAGTTGCGATATAGAACCAATCCTTCGCAGATTACCAGATAGTCTATCAGTGGGGCGTTTGAAGGCACTTTGCGCAAGGACATTTGGCCTTGGTGTTGATCTCATGACTCTGCACTTTCGAACAGCGGTAAGCCACTATCCTCACTTTCGATTGCTCACTTTGTGGGATATTTATTCTAACTGGGCCATGCCGATCTGAAAGGGTGACGCCTTTCCCGTAGAACTCGACAATGACTTCAATGCCCTAAAATACTATGGTGTTTGCGATGGTGCTGAAATTTTGATGAATGAAATTGACGTGGATGCACGCCAAAGGGAGTCTCAACGCCTAGTTAAAGAACAAGAGCGATTAATATCCGAACAGGAACACGAAGTATCTGTCATGCAAGAGTTGCAGCGGAAAAGTAAGTCATGATGATCCCTTGTGACGCTGAGCCGTAAAAAATACAAGCATAAAGCCAGATTAGTGCTCTCATGTGCAATTGAAGCCACCAGTGAATCCAAGAGCGCACGCAGTTGCTTTTTTGCTGTTGCAGATGGAGATGGAGAGTACCTGGTACCGGTACGGTACCCGTAGTGCTTCGCAATCGCAAAACCTTCGGACGCAGGATATACAGTATATGGCTACCGTGCCGTGCAACGTTTTGTTTTATTGTCCGACTCCTCCGATCAAAAACATGAACACATTGTGATTATTGAACATACACATTGAGCATCAAGTTGTCATTATTGTTTCTTGATCAATCACCAGAGTGCATAGTTGTAAAGATGTCTCCAGTTTTACCTCATACTCCAGACCAGAGTCTGCTCGAATCTTTCCGATACATCAACTCAATGCCAGGTAAAAATGTTCGTGGTAAAATGATTGATTGCTTTCAACTTTGGTTGGAGGTTGAGTCCCCCGACGACTTGAACTCGATAAAGGTAAGTTGAGAGCGTAGAATATGTGTATCTTGTTTTGCCCCTCGAGCAACACAGATCTAACGAGATGCACAGGAAATTGTCGGGGACCTTCACAATGCTTCCTTGATGATTGATGACATCGAAGATAACAGCAAACTCAGACGTGGGGTTCCTGTAGCTCATTCCATTTTTGGAATTCCAAATGTGATAAATAGTGCAAATTACGCATATTTTTTGGCACTGGAAAAATGTCACGCATTGAATAATGCAAAAGCGATGAATGTATTTGTTGGCGAATTGCTCAATTTGCATCGGGGACAAGGACAAGGTTAGTCAAGATGCTAGTTGGGTACTAATTCCTTGTTGACTCAGTAATAAGTTCTTGTTTGTTAAGATATTATGGTAAGTAAATTTGGCATTTCCAAGCGCACCAGCATTATTTTCTCACCATCAATAAACCGAAAATTAGTGGAGAGATGATGTAAGATGTCCGACAGAAGCCCAATACATAGAGATGGTGAAGGACAAAACTGGTGGGCTATTCCGTCTTGCAGTTGGATTGATGCATGCTTTGGCAACAAAAAATACCAACAAAGACTTCATATCCTTGGTGAATAATCTTGCTCTTTACTTTCAGATTAGGGACGACTACATCAACCTTGCTGATGCAGAGTACATGAAATCCAAGAGCTTCTGTGAAGATTTGACGGAAGGCAAGTTCTCTTTTCCGATCATTCATTCCATTCGCTCGAATCCTGATGATACGAGAGTCCTGTCTATATTGAAGAAAAGGACCGACGACGTTGATGTCAAACGGTATGCACAACAGATATTATTGGAAAATGGTAGTCTGGATTACACAAGACAAAAATGCCGAGATCTCAAGAACGAAATCGCAGCAGAAATCTCAAGTCTTGGTGGAAACAAGTCATTGCTTCTTCTCATGGAGAAACTGGATATCCAATTGCAGGGAATGCACTCAGCTGTAGAGGTCAAAGAATCAGCTGTAGACGAAGCCTAGGATAGTTATTTACAATGGACTGAACATGGAAGATTCCACCACAACGGGAACATCGAATCTTATCTGCAAGTTAACTTAGATTGATTTCCCCGGTTTCATTAGCGCACTAGATGGCACCAACGTAGATTGAGGGGCTTGCTTCGGTTCCTCTGCTTGAGTTTGTTCGACATCGGCACTTTTTTTCACTGCACCGCCAAGCGGAGGAAACTCTTTGTCCGACAATCCAGTCGCGTTGCCTTGTGGTGGCTTGGTTGTCTGCATTGGCGGAGCCATCTGGTGAAACATCGGCTGGGGTGGCATCGGCGGCACAGGGTAATGGGCAAAATGTGGGATGGACTGAGAATTAGGTGGCTGCTCAGGGACATGTTTTCCTTCCTCGACATACGAAAAGTTGAATGACGATGAAACTGGTGCATGGACAGGTTGCATTTGCGGCTGCAGGGTCATCAATTGCATCAGTTTATCGGCAGCTGTAGCGGGTGAGGGCATCGGGGGTTGTGGCGGTGGGGGAACTCCAAAATTTGGAGGATGGGGAGGGACGTGACCCCCGACTCCAAGCATTGCCTTCAATCCCGCAGATGCGTCAGTGACACCCTGTGGCGCTTTTCCTCCACCGTTTTGTACTCCTGATACCCCGAGCATCGCCTTAAGACCTGCGCTAGCATCCGTAGCGTCGTTATAATTCGGGGCTGGTTTCGAGTTTGAAGATGGGTCACTTTTCTTTATTCCTTTCATCAGTGCTCTCCAACGGTGCAAACCTCCTTTTGGGTTTTTGGAAGTTCTTGTGAAGCGAGCACCCTTCTCAGGAGGCCCCTTTGCTTCTCGAGAAAGCGCAAGCTTTCCTCGACTTGCCGAATCAGATCGCGATCTTCCTGCGGAGCCACCTCTTGTTGGCGTCGCGAGCCTCTGAGCCGGTCTTTGTGCTGCGACACCTTGTTGCGGCACAGCAGGAGCTGCATTTCTCTGTTGTCCCTTTACCTCCCTCTCGATATCGGCGAGTATCTTTTCAACAGCAGCTTTTCCAGACCCTTGTGGAACCATCTTCTCGACCAGCCCCTTGCTGTTGTCAACCGTTATTTTCATCACATGTGCCCACACACAAAGTTTGCCTCTGAAATTTGAACAGAGACCTTGAAGAGACGTGCCACCAACAAACTCTTCATCCATCACTACCTCGACGCAGCCAGTAGTTGCCTGGTGAATCCCAACAACAGTACCTGCAACAAGAATTGAGTCAATCAAAAACAAAAATAAACGACCAGAACGACAAATCAAGTCTCACCTCGAGCACCAAATGGAATGCCGCTTGCACACAAATTAACTATTCGATCTCCCAACTCCGGTGCTTCGTTGTCATTATAATCGCTTGAAAGTATCACGTCAGTAGGACTGATTGAGTTCTCCAAAAACAGTGCACTTCCAGGTATCTTGATTAGGGACTCCTTTGGAAAACCTTTCTTTTGAACTGCTAGGTTGCGTACGTCCGCTGCTTTCTCGACAGCAACGACAGCTTCCTTTGACATGGTGTCTGTGGAAATAGGCGTTCTTGGTAATTTCGCACTCTCGACACCATTCAGCCACTCTCGAACCACAGGCAGCCAATCAGCGCCATTCGGACCAAATACCTTCGTTGCGTCATATCTCTTTTCATTGGGCATTCGAACCAGTGCAGTAAACAACTGCGGAAACTTCTGACGGTATTCGTTGACAAGGCGAATAGCTTTCGGGGTGAACTCCCACTGTATTCTTTCCTCAGGTTTCTCATCATTTCCAGCCTGTCCTGTTCGAGCACTTCCAATAACAAGGAGAGAATCACCGGAATCCCACGCCTTTTTGTTGTTGTTTGACTTTTGACCTGCATTTCTCTCTCGTTTTTGTCTTGTATAACCAGCGACGCACAAGCCATCACCAGATTTCAGGTTTAGACCAAGATCATACTTCCCCGGTTCAAAGAGTATACTCCCAGTGATCTTCCCGAACAACCCTCCATTCAGTTTCAGAATCCGCGAAGCATCTGTGGAAGTAATGTATGATTCATAAACGGATCTTGCCAAGGCAAGACCGAATGGGATTTCAGGAGGCATCGTTGCTACTTTCACCCCTACTTTCTTCTCGTCGGCTATTCCAACAATTGTACCCCGGCAACCTCTATATTTCCCTTTCGTCAAAATGAGACTACCGTCGATTGGGAATCGTTCTCGTAACGCCATCGGCCCTTTCTCGGTAAAACGTGGATCAGGCGCGGGAGCTTGCCACAACGCAAGCTGCAAAGGGACATCAGCCTCCTCTTTCCCGAAGAGCTTCTTCGATGAGCCATTGTTTGGGTTAGTTGTCATCCCTTGGAGTGGGAGCAACTTCAACCGGACCCGGATCTCTCCGATTTGAACCCCTCCCGAACCTGGAATGGAAACACCAGTATGGTATCCTTGCATCATTGCCTCTGAATCCTTGCACCAGCGATCAGCCTCGATCTGATTCCAGCGCTTAACCTTTTTCTTTCCTTTTACCAAGCGAACTTCGCACAAAGCGTCAGATATAGCAGTTAACTTAGCTTCGTGCATCATCGGCCAGTTGATGAAGAGAGATTTACCAAGCACGCTATCTGCAAGCGTCTCGACTGGTGGAATCTGAGGCATTTCGTGCAACTTCAGGGTCATTGTAGGATACTTCGAGGGGAATCCAAAGCAGTTGACTCCAATCGGCAGAACTTCCTCTGATGCTATCGGTAGTACATTGAGCGATGGAAATCCAGGGAAAGGGATTCTCGTTCCAGCTATAAGTTCTGGCTTGAATGAAACGCCTTCAGATTCATACTCTGGCAACACACGAACCCGGGAATGGCACTTCACAATATCCACCAAGCCGATTTTTCGATTCGGAGACTCAATAGTTTCCGTACAGGTCAAGTCAAACATGTAGCCCAATATCTTGCCTTTTTGGTTGCGACGCCTCTCGGAGGGTGTGAGCTTCGAATCTGGGCAATGCTCTTCAATCGCAGACAAAAGTCGATGAAGATCAATGAAGGGAAGGAGATTGACGCCTTCCCATGGGTTCTTCTTCCCATTCATGTCTACCGCAAAATCCACAGGGTAAAAGTCAATTATTGGAGACTCCGGTGACTTCATGAGATAACGATATGGGGTTGGAACAAGTTGGGCGGAGGCAGGAGGTAGACACGCCATAAGCTGTTGAAATGGCTTCACTGGCGTCCCGAGTTCAAAGCTTATAGACTCAAACATTTTCGGCAAGTTTCTCAGGTCACTTAGCATGGGTCCTATTGTTTAGAAGAAAAGAAGTCAGGAAAATTCACCGCCGGAAGCATGCCAAGCACAGGACTTACCATAATGATAGGGGTAAAACCAGCCCCACGAAATGCAACCGCGATAATAGTAAGCCAAGCACCACATCAAACCTTCAACATACGCTTGTCTCAAATCATGGTGAGCCTTAAGATCGACTGGAGTAAGCTTCAGTTTCTCAAAGTAGTACCGCCCCTTGAAGTCCTTTTGCCCTGGCTGAACAGGGGTCCATCCATCAACAAATTGTTGCCCCTCATGCTTCGCCATCAGAGCTTCCATCATGCTTATATAATCATTCTGTTTTGCATCGTCAGCAGCCTTCATTTCCTCGTCAGATGGCAACTGGGGAAGTCCATCACGCTTGTTCCATTTCCTCTTCTTTTTGATGTATGCAGCATCATCAATTTCGCGTTTCTCCAATACTTCTGTTTCGACTGACCCAATGACTGTCAAGAAGTTTTCTAGTCGTTGCGGGTCACTGATGTCGCCACTTTGGGTCAAGTAGTTACCAGTTCCCCATTCAGGACGCTGCTCCTTGTAGACTTTGAAAAGAAGGTCAAATGCCCCTTCACCAATATCCAGAGTAGTCAGATGCGGCAAAAAGTCATTCCCAACCAAAAATGTCAAAAACACAAAGTCATCAATTGTTCGCTCAAGGTCGTACTCTGTACCCTTGCAAAACTCGAGAGAAAGATACTCTCGTAATACGGATAGATGCAACAGCTGAAAGTCCGATTCCTTCGTGAACTTTTTGACAGTCTTCAATGCATTCTTATTCGTGAATCCACCGCTGAAATCAACAACCTCCCTCAGAATTGTAAAATGTGGCTCATGAGTGACTAGCCCCAACATGATCAAATCCGCGTCTTGACCATAGATGCAATGTCGTGTGTTTGGCTGGTATCCAGGTTGACTTCTCATCATTCTAATATGCTCCATGATCTTGTGCTCTCCTTCACCAGGGATTTCGTGCCCACTAAAAATAACATTCAGATTGCGCCAGATTGGATCTTCTTTGATCTTCTTACGAATGAAGTATTTGATGGTTTCAGAAACCCTTGCCATAAATTCCGTCCCAGGAGTAATGCAGTTGGAATCAAAGACATCTGCACTACCAGTTGATCCATCTTCGTTGTTTTGCTTTGGAAGATCTTTCGTGGCTTCTGCCATATCCCTGGCTGAACGGAACCGTCGAGACCGTTGCTGGTTGAGCTTCGCTCTCGGTGCGACGCCATCAATCGCCATATACACCGAAACTCTGGGCTTGACAATCTGAGTGATAATACGATCCAAATCTTTTGGGAATGCAAACAAACATGAGCACTTCTGGGATCTAGTCTTTTAATGCTGTCTTTGGTGGATTTACTCACAGTGCATGATGCCGAGCATCATGTCTCTTTCGCTCAAAAAATCGGAAATATCCATGTGATTTGGATGAGTACATCCGTGAATGATTCCATTCATATCAAGATAGAGGTGATCGAATTCAGGCAAAAGCGCCGAGTCGGAGACAATCTCATTGATCTTCGTGTAGCGCTCACTGAGCCAGCGATAAAACTATACACCAATGGAACCAAAGAAGTGAGCTGCTTCCCAAACTTGAAAGGACTCATTAATATCATATTTCTCGTACCTTTGGAACTCCCATGATATCTCCCGTCTTGTAACACAGCAAAAGGAGAACCTCGACTGTGAGCCCGAAGGTTGATTCAAAAAATCACAACGAACGACGGAAGGTCAGTCTCCCACGCGACCAAATTGCCTCCAATGATCGTACCGGCAGGTAGCAAGGCTCTATTATCAAATGAGCTTGTAAATGATATCTACACTTCCTACTGAAGATAGCGCTAAAAATGATGACTCAAGCACGGGGAGCACCGGCTGACATCAATGATAAAACTCGGGACTTCTCAAGTGCAGTCAAAGGTGCCAGCCTACTCTTGTCTTCCATTTAATCCTAGTTCGGATCCCTTCTACGTGCTCTTGTCGCCTTACTCATTTGCTTCACTCTTTTCTTCATCTCAATATCTTCATTGTGTCTCTGCAACATCTCAGCTTCAGTCGTTGGTTCACCCTGTGCCTTCTTCATCAAATTTGACATCGTTTCTTGAAATCCTGCGTCACCAGTGGTTCCTGGAATTGGCTTTGGGCGATCCCAAATCCCAAGCTGTTTCCTCACAAAGTCATTTCGCAAGGTAACAGATTGAACGAGAGTGAAAAAATTGTTTGGAACCCAGTAGCATAGCATAGCAGCGGGGAAGGTTGTGATTACTGGAACCATTACAACCGCCATCGCACGAAATGCATTCACCATCACTGGTCCATACTGTGGGTTCGAGTCGATCATCTGATCTTTCCCAGCTTCTATGGTCGTGAGAAAACTGACTCCACATGCAATGGGTAAGATATAGGTTGGATCGGGGACCGTGAGGTCTGTGAACCACATTATTCCACCTGTTGACATTTGTTCGGTGAAGATGTCGGGCATTTTCTTCATACCAAAGAACATTCCAATAAAAAGGGGTGCTTGCATGAGAGGGGCTGCAAATGCAGCAAAGGGTTTCACTTCATATCTTTTGAAGAGGCCTTTCATCTGGTCTGCAAATGCTTTCTGTTCAGCCTGCGAAGGAGTCCCCAATGCTTCATATCGATCTTTCATCAATTTCAGCTCAGGCTGCAAGTGTGCCATTCGTGATGCTGCCCTTTGCGCATTGATGGCAATCGGCAAGATTGTGAACCGCAAAATCATGGTGGTTGCAACAATGGAACCAGCGTAATGCAACCCAGACATCTCATGTACAAACTCTACCCCACTAACAGCATGATCAGCTAAGTTCCACCAACTTGGTTCAAAAGCAGCAGCTGAAGCTGCTTCATCAAGGAACCAAGCATCGCCTTCAGTTTGTGCTTCTTTCTGTGATTCATGAAATAGCTTATCCATTGTTTCATCAAAGTTCTGCTTTGGAGGGTTGGCGTCAGATGACATATATCGCTTCTGAAATTCGTTTGGATCGACTAACGAAACTGTTTGTTTTTTGTTGCAGTGTGATTCGTTTTTTTCGGTCCTGTTTTCAACCTCGTTAAGCTGGCCGATGGAATACGCCGCAGATAGCCGGCTACGACGTGACCCCATCACCGATCTTGATACCAATCTCATCATCGTTGACTGACTCAACTCAAGCCGAAATACAATCAACACATTCCAACAGATTTTGGCAACAGTCAAAGTCAAGAAGGACTGACTGACGTCCACAAACTCTGACGGAAGCCAGACAGACGACACCCATTCTTTGTGTCTCACGTCTACCGGTACCAGGTACTGTATGCTGTACGTCTCACGTCTACTGTACGTCTCATCTATCATCTTGCCCTCTCCTCTTACACAGCTTGAATATATGCTTTCCATCAAAATGTTTCGTGGACTCCCTGGCAAAGCTGTAGAAAGGAAGTGACTTTTGTTAGGTGATACCCATTTTTGGGCTCACTTGGTCCTTCAGCACACTTACCAAGTTTTGCACAGATCGAAATCAAAACAGGTTTTACACTTTCGAATGTCACCTGTAATGAGCTCAGAGCATGAGTCACAGTATGCAGTCTCTTCGTACTTTACTTCTTCAATTTCCGCTGACCCCTCTACAGCTGTCGCTAGCGCCCCAGGAAAAAGTAGCACACGATCGGCAGGAACACCCTCATTTGACCATTGCGAAGAGGTATCATCGTCGCTATCGCTGACCAGAACTGCAGACAATAGTCTACCTGCTTGCAGTTTCTCTTCGGTCTGAAGTTTTGAGTCCTTTTGTGATCTCTTGCTCGTGTCCTTGAACAGTTGCCGTGCTAGCGCGCGCGTAATGTCATCACAAAACCCAAGAAGGTATGCATCGAAAACATAGTTGTCCCGAAATTCAGGTCCATCACAGCCACCATCGGCCAATTCCAGTCCCTTCGGTATAGAGTTTGGAGGATGAACTACTGTTCGGTTGATCAATATCCGAGGAATATCTCTGGGGAAGAAGCCAATCACCTTTGATATCGGAGCGACTGACAAACTCGTACCGATAACGACAAGTGCATCAACTTTCTTGCGATCTGCTTCAAGTGTTCGACTCACAGTATCACTCAATGTCTCGCCGAAGAAGGTCACAGTAGGCTTGAGAATACCTCCACATAGATCTTCGCACGACAAGCGTTGTCGCTTTCTTGTTCGTTGGCACGGTCCTAGTGAACTGGATCTGGTTGATCGCGCTGTATAGCCCGAATCGACAGGTGTAGTTGCGTTTTCTCTCTTAACTTTCCTAATCTCTGCCTGACACTGCGGTACTGTGCCTTCTACAATATCCGGCAAGATTGTTTCAGATGATACTTTCCTTTTACATTTCAAACAATATGCTTGCAGTAAATTGCCGTGAGCGTAAACAATCTTTTTCGAAGAAACTCCAGCAACAGTTTCCAGTCCGTCAATATTTTGGGAGTATACTCGAAGTAGCATCTTGTTCTGTTCCAAGATAGCCAAGAGTTTGTGGGAATCACTCGGCTCAACTCGCTTATCACCTCCAAGCGGGAAATATAGTGTCCGCGCAAACTTATAGAAGGGTGAAGGGTCCTGGAGGAAAAAATCCTTATCAAATAAGTCCTCGGGGCATGACAAGTTTAGCTCCTCGGTGTCTAACGTTGCATATAATCCAGACGTTGACCTGAAGTCAGGGATTCCACAGCTCACTGAAATTCCTGCACCGAGTAGAACAACAATGTTTTTTCGTCCTTGGAGAAGCTCTGTCACTCGCTGGAACGAGGACGCAAAATCATGGTTCGTAATTGTTTTATCATTCAGAAGGAACGGTGGGGTTGCGACAGGAACTGAGCGCTTTTTAGATGCTCCTTGATTCACCATGTTGATGGGAACAATTCTGTCAATTTGGATGTGGATTGTTCAACCTTCCAACTCATTTTGAATTCTGGGTTTGACGGTGCAGGCGGTCAGACGCCTCAGAACATACCGGCATTCAGCATTTTCATCATACAGTACCTGCAAGACGGGGTAATTTTCATAAATAGGGGCAAGGGGACAGACGGGGTGTCATCGTTTCTCAAGCGGGTTGCGTGGCCAAACAAATTGTAATAAAAAATAACGGTCATGTCACCTGCATGAAATGAAAAAAGCTCGACCCGAATTTGGATACGATTCAAAGCAGCTACGCAGGCACTGCATCCTCGTCGCCAGGTGGTGTGGAATCTGGAATCCACGAATGCACAAATCTATTTCTCCATGATGGAGAAAAAAAAAATCTATTTCTCCATGATGGAGAAAAAAACTTTCTATTTCTCCATTCGGAAGTTGGAGCCAAAAGGTTCATCAGGGGAAAGAAAATATTGGGGGACTAATTTTATGAGCTCATATTCAAAAGCAACTTTTGGAGAAAGATGTGGTTGCCAATTTGCAGGATACAAACAAGGCTGCTCGCGATCAAATACAAGACTTTGGTGCTATCCTGTAGGAGCAGGGCGCCCCGACAACTATATTCGCACAGCCACATACAAAACTGTTTAGCGTTGGAAGCTACAACAATCAACTTATAGTTACCTTGCAGGCAGGTGCTACTGATTCATGATGGAGTATGAAGGCAGTGTGCCAGCCCAAGGTGGAAGAAGACTTTTTCGGAGACGTCAAATCTCATTATGATTGTTGTTGAAGAACAAAAGATAGACTATGTTTGGGGAAGACTTGGGGGTGTCGTTTCTCCACCGGAAGCTGTTTTCTCCACCGGAAGCTGTTTTCTCCACCGTGGAGAAAAAAAAAATCTATTTCTCCACCGTGGAGAAAAAAAAAATCTATTTCTCCACCGGAAGCTAATATGGCAACAAAGGTTTCACACTGATGATCATTCATCCGTTGACGATCGCTGGGTATACTGGCGGGCGTGTTTTCGCGAGGTCTATTTTGGCAAATAGCATAGCGAGAATTTAACGGCTGGACGAGCATTCCAAGCGGGAATCGACTAGAGATCCCGCTCACAGAAGTAGCCCCGTCCGTCCGGATATCACAAATATCTGAAAATTACCCCGTCTTGCTGGTACCGGTACACGACACACGATGAACGACACAGTGACGAGTTGAGAGTAGGTATGACAGGTAGGTACAGTACAGCAATGTCTCATGTATGTGTATCATGTATTCAGTGTCATGTGTGTGTATCATACATATATTCAGTATCATATCATGTATCCGTATCACAACTACCTCAACCTGCTACCCCGGGTACTGGTACCGTATTCGATGATGCTTGGTGTCAGACAGCTCCCGCTGCAAATGTCGATGTTGTAAATAATCGAATAACTTAAAACTGGATAGTATGTGTAAGCTAGCATGAATGAGTCTACAACTAAGTGGAAAACCCCTTTCGGCACCATCATTGTTCTAAAAGCATAGCGAGGTTGTTCTGTCGAGAAATCTGCAGTATTTCCGGCAGAGACTCTCCCAAACCTCATCCAACTTGCGTTGAAGCAAGGTCTGAGAGGAGGTTTCAATGCGCTGTTCTCGAATCTGCAGGGCTGTTTTCCATGCTCCTTTGATCTCAGAGAACGAATGTCCCCGTTCATGGACAAGAATGCGGTGCCTTTCTGAAAGTGATAATTTCATTTGTCGTCGGCTGCGCCTTGGTTTCCTCGCGTCTTCATATTCGTCTAAATTCATACGACTTTCTTTCTGAAAATTATGCCAATCAAGCCGAATTGGAGGGCCGCTGATTGCGTTTGGGTGGTCACCTAAAACTCATGTGAGATATCGTCAAATCACCCGTTGGGAGTGGAGCGAACATGATCAATGTACGTACCTAGAGTCAAACCAAACTCTCGGATTACGACCCCTTTGAACTCTACTGATCGACGGATTTCGGTGTCATCCTGCAGTTTTCCCCATGCACTGTTCGACATCCGTGTGCTAGAGGTCTTCAGTATAGAGTCGAGGGGTTGACAGGATTCAATGCCACATGCACTGTCCACAAAAAAACATAACATGTTATTGACAGCACCTTCGTCGTTTGTTTCTCGAGCGTCATAAAAAGTAAGCTCTGTATCTCTCTCATCGATCTCATCGAGACTGTCTTTTCGCCTCTCGGGCACAACATCAACACTGAAATGCAACCTGTTTTTGTCATTCAAATCAACAAGAACAGTCTCAAAGTCTGCATCACATGCAGTCTGATCTTCGATGTTAAGCATTCTAATGGCTCTCTTGCTATGATTACTTTCTGTCTAACACTTCACTTGCCTCCACCTCTTTTACCTGGTCGGGATGTGATTGTATGAAGTATGGTATGTGTACATGGTAATACTGTAGAGGTTTTGAGGAGGCAGTTGCGGTCCCGCATGAGTGAATAATTTGGGCTTTGTGCACGATTCAGCCCTGGAATGACGGTCTACGTAACAACAATTTAACGTCTCAGTCAGTACGGCAAGAAAAGACCAATCCAAGAAACTAACTACTATCGTACCGGGTACAGTGCGAGTACAGTTGTTGTGGATAGAAGGACTTTGTATTAATACTGGTAATTATGAATGATTGATCAGTTTTTTGTGCTGTTACTCTTCCAAAGTAGATTTGGAAGTCCCGAACCAACAGGAATTGGTATCCCCATGATGATACATTCACTTACGCCAACAATTTCGTCACTTCTGCCATGAACTGCAGCATCGAACAAATGATCAGTTGTCTTTTCAAAGGACGCCAACATCAAAACACTCTCTCTCATTTTTGAGACACCAAACCGAGTGATTCCTAGAACTTCACCCTTGAATGTCATAACATCCGACAGAAGCAGTAGGTGTCGAGGGTCAATGCCAATGCCATACTGCTTCATAATGAACGAAATTTCTGTTATGATCTTCGTCCTTGCGGCTTCAATCCCAAGTACGTTCTCGACTTCCAAAACGTGATTCGTTGTCGTTTTCCGCCCATCAATTCCTGCACTCCCCATTACCTCCTGCAAACCATATCCTTCAACGAGAACCTCATATTTTCCTGATTCATCATTCATGTTGATGACAGCTCTGTTCACTGATGGGATTCCTTGCACAATAACTGATGGAATTATTGTCTTCAGTTCCTGCATGGCAAAGTATACAGAATTCTTGCTGTTGTCAGGAACATACACCCGCAACTTGCTGCTGGATCCTCTCTTGATCCTAACGTCCTTCTCGCGAAGTTGCCGAAGTATTGGTGCTTTGGTGACACCTCGAGCACCATACAAAATAGAATCTCGAACACTCCCCGAGTCAACATTTAACTTCAGCTGCTCAATGGCGTCTTTGGAAGGGATGAGTCAAAGATTGGGACTTCATGTAGCATGCAATATTTCAATGACGATGGCGAAACTGGACTTACCCATGTCGAGCTTGATGCTAATGTAACATCCATCTGGAGCAAAGACTTCTTTGATGTAGATCGATACTTCCCCTAGCGTCGTCCTTTCAATACCTGCTTTCACAACGCGAGCAGCAATTTCATTGTCATGTTGTTCGAGTTGGGCTGTAATGATAGGAGTTGATATTTGCTTTGAAGCATTGATAATCTCCACCAATCGAGGAACTCCTAATGTAACATTCATGGAACTAATTCCACTAAAGTGAAAAGTTTTCAGTGTCATCTGGGTTCCGGGTTCGCCAATGCTCTGTGCAGCAATCGCTCCGACCGCTTCACCAGGCTCGACGTAGGCCTTAACACATTTGCGCCAAATGATATCCAAAATCTCGTCTATTTGAGTTCTTGTGAAGCGGCAAGTATTCCAGCACAGACGAGACAACTCCATCGAAACCTCTGTCGATGCTCCAAGCTCTACAAGCTTCTTTCCTTTCTTCTCGAAAAAGTTCTCGATATCCTCATGCAAAACAAGTCCCTCTGGAAGTATCTTTTGGTATCTTTCTTCTTGAAGCTTCGTCTTTATTGTCTCTCGGAGGTCATTTGCACTGAGGGCCTCCTCGTTGCGGCAAGGGAGTCGTTCGCGGACAGATAAGTAGACACGGTCAAATTGTACAGGGCGATCATTATTTTCCATTTTGTCTGGATTCAAACCATCATCACCGTAAGTGAATTGAACAACAGTGTTTTCACTATTGCGAACAGTCTTATCATATTGCATCGAAAGATCCTCAAGCGCCTGGTCACATGACATGTGCATGGTGTTAGATAAATTATGCCTCCACAGGGGATGGGATCATATCGTACCTTCATGAGCCGACGGGCCATGTATCCGGTTTCAGCAGTCTTTACGGCAGTATCAACCAATCCTTCCCGACCACTCATCATATGGAAAAAGAATTCTGTTGCTGTAAGGCCAGTGTAAAATGAGTTGGCGATGAACCCCTTCGCAGCAGGTGTGATACTGTGGACTTCGAAGTGAGGCAAAGTTCTGTTCACGAACCCATCCATAACACGCGCACCACCAACTGCTTGTTGTCCTACACAAGCCATCATCTGTGAAATATTCAATGGACTACCTTTGGATCCACATGCCGCCATAATTCGAGGCGAATTCGTCCAACTCAATCTCTTCATTGCCTCTTGACCAGCCGATTCACGAAGGCGGCCAAGAAGCCCTGTAAGAATTTCCTCCATGGATTGTTTCAAGTCGCAACCAGGCCTTAGCTGGAGGCTTCCGTTTTCATACTTTTCAATTGTTGCATCTGCTTCTTTGTATCCTTGGAGAAGAATCTCGTGCTTCATGTCGGTCAGAGCTTTAGTTGGCGTCACATCCGCAATACCGATAGAAAAGCCACGATGAGTTCCCATGTATCGACCACAAAGCTTCGCCCAACGGTCCATTATCGCAGCAGTCGCTTGAGGGCCGAAGTCCCTCAGAATGACATAAAGCAGGCCAGTCTTGCTGCCATCACCAATTGTTTTCTTCGCAATGTTCCCGGATATCAGCTCGCTCTGGCGAAAGGCAACCCACCCATCATCTTTACAAAAGTGCTTTTCATCATTTTTGGAATTGTAGTTCTTCTCCTTAGTTTCGAAGTCAACAAAGACTTTCGCACTCTTGTTTGGTCTAATCATTGTACCGAAGATTTGTTTTCCTGTCCACAATTGGATTGGTTTAATAAGAGCTGGATGTGGGATGTCAATCTGTTCCTCTGCATCTCCAAAGTAAGAAACAAGACTGCAAAATTGCTCTCGAGTGAAGAACCGATCGTTTTGTGTGAGCAGATATGATGCCGACAAGAAATCCTGACTTGCAGCAACAAGAGGTTCTCCGTTACGCGGCGTGGTAAGATTGTTGTGAACTCCCATCAAAAGTTTTGCCTCCGTCCTCGCTTCTTCTGTTTGCGGCAGGTGAAGATTCATTTCATCACCGTCAAAATCAGCATTGTATGGAGCACAAACACAAGTATTGAAACGGAAAGTGCGAGATTCTGTGATCCGAGCGTGATGAGACATTATAGACACTCTATGGAGAGAAGGCTGCCGGTTGAAGAGTACGATATCGCCATCTTCCATGTGACGCTCGACGATGTCACCTTCACGCAGCGTCTTAGCAATCGTTTCTCTATCTCCAAATGCTAGCGATTTTGTTCGCTCGCCCATCCGAATCAGGTTTGCGCCAGGGTGTACATCTGGTCCATTCCGTATCAGTTGCTGCAACTTTTTCTTGTTGTATCGCGATACCCGTTCTGTGGCAAGAGAACAAAATGGTGTTGAGCCAAACAATTCTTCCATCTTTTCTCAGATGCGAAACCATGCATTTACCTGGATACGTCATTATCATGGCGACGAACTTGGGGACTCCAACCTCGTTCACCTTCAGATTTGGATCTGGTGAAATGACCGTACGTGCTGAAAAATCGACTCGCTTCCCAGAAAGATTACCACGAAATCGACCTTGTTTTCCTTTCAGCCTTTGGCAGAGACCTCGCATTGGTTTTGCACCTATAGGCTTCTGTATTCCTGGAGACTCTCCATTGATAAACTGTGCAACTTGCGTTTGCAGGTAATCCCAACTTTCCATTATAGTTTTTGTGTGGGGCCCCTTTGTCAACGCCAACTCCAGTGCGGCATTCACATCAAGGATTTCTTGCAGCTTCACGGTCAAATCGTCAACATTTCCACCGCCATCCATTTCGACTGATGGGCGAATAGGCACTGGGGGTACAAGCATATTTTGAAATACTAGATTTTCGGGCCGTCCGATCAAGGGATCCACCCACAATACTTCGCAATCTTCATCGGTTATCTTCTTGAAAATATCTAAAACTCTGTCTGGTAACAAATCATCAACAGGCGGAGTGGGTCCCATTATGGCACCCGCCAAGTCTTTATTATTTTCCATTGCTAGGTCAAGTGACGCCATGAACTCTTCTAGCTCTTCTTCCATATGACGTCCTTTAAACTTTTCGTGGACAATTTTCAGGGTTGGAGCTCCTGTTATTTTTTTTACCGTCCCGTTCGGAGCTCCACAATGAGGACACAATTTTGACTTTTTGCACTGCTCAATAACTTTCTTGTGTATAGCGTTCTTCGCCAAGATATCAGTCTTTGGATTGCGCATCTTGGCCAAGAAATGATGTCGTTCGGTATCTCCCAAGAGAACACGCGAACATGACTTACATACACACTGTAGCAAGCGTAGCGTGTGACGCATATAACCAATATGGAACACTGGCAAGGCAAGTCGAATGTAACCAAAGTGCCCTGCACAATCCTGGAGTTTGCGTTTGCAAGTGCCACATGTCGAAACCTTATCACATACTCCTAATCGCGAGTCGAGACAACCTCCTCTTGCAGGGGTTCTTGTAGGAGGTGTAAACAGTTCCCGAGATGTTACTTGGAATTCTGCAAGCCGTTGCATCTCTTCTGCAGATAAAAGTCCGAACTGTAGTCGAGCAATTTTCTTGGGCGCAAGGTCTTCTTTGACGAGGAACTTTCGCTCGCAGGTTGGAACATCGTCGTCGACCCAAGATTTGCTTTCCATCTTGATAATGCGTGGAAGCAAATGACTTTCGGCGTGACTTGCGTGTGTTGAGTTTCAGAGAATTGTCGATTTCAGACTAACTGAATGAAAAAGTGTATTAGATGAATATTTATATTGATGTTTGGGACCCTTTTCCTACCGGTTGCC